ATGTTTTGTTATATATGTTTCAGTAAAGGAAAATAAATCAATTATTTGCTCGTTTCTATCCAGTCCAATTAAATTGCCTAATATATATTATACTCAAGTAGTCTCTAGACTTAGGTGCATAGCAAATTGTTCAAAGAGATAATCATGCAAGGCACTTTTCAAGGAGTAGGTATAGTATCCTAATTTTAACATCAGTTTATTTAAATTCTTGAACTGTGTATGTATATGTTCAAAAATGAATCCACTTCTACAAAAAATCTAAAACTTCATCAGCAGGATACTAGAACCAAGAACAATTTTCATTTGATTCTGAAAATGTAAAAACTTTTCGTGAAATACGTTGTAAGGATGTACAAAATGAATCTGGGAAATTATATGCACAAATCCGATTCTGAGGTTACAGAAAATTGAAAATATTGTTTTCATTATTGAATTTGTCATCTGAAACAAATTGAATCATTCCATTCTACGATTTAAATACACCCTCGAATATGATAAAAGGAGACTCGCGTTTGAATGTCATCTCCCCGCCATCAATAGAGTCGAAAATTGCTTGCCATGAAGATTTTTATCTAGAGCATCGTGGGCAGATCCGCATTAGCACAGTATACTGTATACAGTAATCCCACTTCGGGTGATTTTTGGTTTGAATTTTCTACACGCAGACCCAGGAGTTGCAGTCTCAGGGCTGCGCAAACGACGAGTTCAAGGCAGGCACGCAACCAAATCGTTTAAACACTGCTCAACATAACAAATATTCATATAAGCTGCTCAAAAAAATACAGTCGATGAAAACCATGTTGGGCACCTAAGAAAATTGTACAAATGATAATTTTGCATTTGTGTAATATTCAAGTAAACTTTCATTTGATTCTGAAAATGTAAAAACTTTTCGTGAAATACGTTGTAAGGATGTACAAAATGAATCTGGGAAATTATATGCACAAATCCGATTCTGAGGTTACAGAAAATTGAAAATATTGTTTTCATTATTGAATTTGTCATCTGAAACAAATTAAATCATTCCATTCTGGCGAATCTTATTATTAATGACGCCACTACGATTTAAATACACTCTGGAATACGATAAAAGGAGACTCCCGTTTGAATTTCATCTCACCGCCATCAATAGAGTCGAAAATTGCTTGCCATGAAGATTTTTATCTAGAGCATCGTGGGCAGATCCGCATTAGGGTCATTCTTTATGAGTTTACCATATTTATGCAACATTGTATAAAGATGGGATCAGGTAGATTACTGGGATGTACTGGATTAACAACTATATAATGTCCTTTGTGTTGAATTATAATTGGAGAATCAGAATAATTGAGAATTTGGAAATAGTGGCATTTGCTATCAATATTTCATTTGGGTAGTGTGTATTTTTTTGGAGACGCTAAACCGTTTGTATTTGGAATACATTTGTAAATAGTAAGTATTCTGCCAGTTTCAATTAAAGTCAAACTTATTTTCTTAAAACATCGGAAACATCTTATTAGAAAAGGAGTTAAATGATTTTTTTCAGTTGAAATTTGCAATATCAACAGTTATTGTTATTTTTTTCAGATGTCTGGAAATAAGTGTCAATTTTATAATTGCTGTCAAACCGCCATGACTTAGAGATGGGCCCAAAAGAACCGAACTGGGTTTTCGGAACAGGTATCAGTCAACTGTTCAGTGAACCTGTTCTTTTCATTGAACTAAACTTGCTCAGACGGTGAGTGGCTATTCCAAAGACGCTTGCACAGGTTGGTGCTGGAACTGGATGACGGGACCGCTCTGTGACCTGTGCTCTCGTCTGCACTGAGCACTGACAAGTCATAAATGTTTTCCATGAAATTTTGAACATGCAAAACGAATCAATTAAATATCGTAGGTCCCTGCAAAATCGTAGGTCCCTGTCTCTGTGAATTTTCCCCAACGTGGGTTTTCAATGTTTTTCTAGTGGGTAGAATTTTCACCGTGGGGTGTTTTCTAAGCATATGACGCTTTAAATTAGTCACGGAAGATTTGAAGGAAATAACCTGCTTGCAAATTTCACATGTTGCTAGTTGCAGTTGTTTCTCTATGATTGAAAAAAAAATACAAATAGGGCTTAATTTTTCATTTATTTTACACTAAAATTCAGCCTGTTACTGAAATAAAACTCTAGAACAACAAGACGAATGGAGGGAACGTACGGAAATTCGGAACCACTCGGAACCGAACGCTAAAAAGTGACCATGACGCAAGATGATACGTCATTTAAGAATAGGTGAACATGAACAGTTAAAAAGAACAGGTTTTCGATAAGAACTGGAACAGTTCGAACAATTTCTTCAAATTTAACTGTTCAGTGCCATCTCTACCATGACTGACAAATATTTGAGGTTCTATGGATTTCCAGTAAAGGACCTTGAAAGGTGCAAACAATGGATATTGCATTCTGGTAAGTTATTAGCTACAGGTGTCTATATACAAAGATTTTTTTCCTATAATATCGCCATCTATAGGCATCCTTTAAGACTAAGATGCAATACCAAACGAGGTATATTAGTAGGTGGAACCTACTCCTCTTGGAGCCGCGCCAAATTCGATATAAGGCACCACTGGCGAAGTTAGGGAAATCCTCTCTGAGCTTATTTCTCAGTTGGTAAGCTAAGTAGGTACTTGGTTGATGGTGGATAAACAGTAAAGATCTCATAATAAATTGCAATTTTGTTGTTAATATGTAGTTCTTCTGAGGTGGTTCTGAGAATAATTATTGATATTTGAACTTTGTTAGAGTGATTATAGAGTAGAGCCTCGTTAATCCGGGCCTGTTATCCGTATCATTGGACAATGAATTCGAGCAATCACATGAGAGTGCCCGCAGTCACAAAAGTCAATCGAAAATGTTATTTCGAAACCCCCCTTTATATTAACCGTGCAGTAGAGTTACTATATAGGGGGGATTGCTATAAGGTGCTTTGGGAGTTCAGTTTATGATTAGTTTATTGATTTTTTTCAAGTTTTTTTGGAGAATTGTTGCGTATCACAATGTAGGAACAGTACAAGCGTATGTATAGTTTACATTTCATTCAAGCAGATGAACGAAAACCATCAAAGACACTTCCCAATCTTTTTCTGCATTCCGAGTTTGATGATGAGTTATATTTTCAAAGAAGTGGGGTGTATTTCACAATGTAATTCGATTGTTTTAGATACTCGTTCACTTTAACCATCTCAAATTTTCTCTCCCAATATCGAAATTCTATATTATTTTGAGAACACCGATTTTAATGTGAAGAAGATATAAACTACACTTGTGTTAGATAAAGATGCAATATGAAAAAAATACTAAGTAAAATTCAAAAGTTTTTGTGTCTTCTTAATATTATATGTCGAATATCAGTGTTGCCAATAACAAGACTCCCGAAAATACCAGTAACATGCGCAACCATTTTCACGTGATTATGATCAATTGAGTACGCCTTAAGTGATCAAATTTAAAATAAACTCTTCACAAAGATGTATAGATCATGCACAAAAGTTTTTTTTTTGGCACTAACTGAAAAAAAAACAAATTTGAAACGACTACTTCCAAAACCCATGAAATTGAAATAAATATCATTCACAAGAATGCTGAGCAATGTAATATATGAAACAGTGCCAATATAAAATTTCACTTGAAGTATTTACGTCTACTTCATTCACCCCTTTACCATCTTCGTGTTTCATTGACAAGTAATAAATTCTTAGTGTTGAATATCACGGTTTATACAGTGGTTTATACAGTATTGTTCAAAGTTATTGTTTTGGGTGGATTTTTTCGTCCAGTTTGAAAGAAACTTCTCTGTGCATGATTTATATATCCCAGCGGAGATTTTAATATTATTTATAAACGTTTGCCATTTAGGAGTGACTTCTTCTACATAGTATTTCTATCATTTTTACTTCTTACGTCAACCCTAGCATAGATGGATTACACCAAACCAAGAACTGAACTGAAAACTTGAAATCGAATCGTTCAAATTTAATCGAATGAATCGAATACAATGAAATATTCGAATTATTCGATTCTCCCATCTCTATTCCGTGGTAGTGGACGAACGTGCCGATAACGTTCATCCACTAAGAGGGTACATGGGCCCTCTTTATTCAAGCAGAGGTGTTTTAGATAACCACTTAAAGAGGGCCACGTATGTGTAAAAATCCGAAGGTCTACCGTGGAGGGGGTGACAAATGATATGCTTTTTTTCAATGTCAGAATAAGGGTGACAGCATTGTTTTGAGCAAAACCGCTGCACTCCCTGACGAAGCTGGTGTCAGTTCAATAATTGATGATTCTGGAACACCTGGCTGGATAACCTGGCAGTTGAAGCCATTAATGGAAAAGAAGAAGAAAGAAGAACAGGAGACTGGGTAAATACGCCTGAATGGGAAGTAATGGCCATTGAAAATAGAGTGAGAATATTAGAGAATACTTCTGTAGAGACGAGAGAGCTGTTTCTTCAAGCCTTCCAATTTCGAATATTTAAAAAGTTTACTAAGGTCTTTAGCTGTTATTTTTTTCAACTCAAGGATGTAAGTATATTAGTAATGTCTATTATTGTCCCATTATATTCATTTTGTGAAATTTTAGTGTGGAGTATGCCTTTTTTTGGTGATGCTGTGAAACCCGCAGAGGATGAGATGTACGTCCTGCATAAGAAGAGGATGCAGATTGTAATGGCTTACGATGTTGACAAATTCATATCTAACGCTTGGTCGCGTATCAACAAGAGGGTAGTAGTGGATGGCGATGAAGATTGCCCACAACCAGCTAAGAAGAGAGGGTTAACTGCTACATCAGACATACAGATAGCCTCCACGGTGTCTTCGAATACCACTGCCGAGCTACATGACCAGCCACAAGCCAGTACTGTCATACCACCGATGCCTGCTTCGAATGTCCAGGTAGCAACTTCTGCCCAACTCTCCGGCAGCGAGGTGGAGCTGCCAATGTCTCCGAGAACCTCGAATCTACTAGAAGACCTTCTCACACTCCACAGAATTTGCAAAGAGAGAAAGGCAAAGCTGCTGGCGATGCGGGGGAGCGATGAGAGATTGGTGAAGATTGCCGCACGTAAGCGACAACTAGAGATTCGACAAGCGCAGCAAGTCGAACGGAAACAGCATTTGCTGATTGAACTGGCAGAGTTGGAACTCAGCATCGAGGACACAAGTCGGGACATCTTAGGAGCCGAAGAGGAGTACAGCAATGAGGGTGCCTCAACGAATCTGTGCCGCTTGGAGGTCGATGAAATGAACAACTCTGTAAAGGCTCTCCAGGAGCAGCTCAAGAATCAGATTGACGATATGGGAACTTAACCTCCATTTCTTTTCCTCACATCCTTTTCTTTCACCTAGCATGCATGAGTTGGTTGGTGTACACAGGGCAGCTTGCATTTAGTTGAGGACTTTCTTCAGAATTTGGCGATAGAGAGAGAGTCAAGAAGATTATTGCAGTTCTGGTGGGACCACTTTTTTTTTATAGGTTTATAGGTATGCCAGAGGTTTCAGTTTTATTGATCATTTTGTAACTTGATTTTTTTCTCTTGTACTTATTTCTAACCAATTTATTTCAGTAATAATATTTTTTTGTGGACAAGAAACAGATGCAAAGCAGCTCCCAGGGATCCATGCAAGCCTCTTTTCATAGCTCACGGTATTTTAACAGTAGCTGCCCTGTTTATCTTGGAATCAATTTGCTTGATATCAATTTAACATATGTACTGATGACAAAATTTGTATTCGTTACGAAATTATCAATAAAACCGACGAATTTTTTTTATATAGTAGCCCAGATTTTTCCATTTGTTTTTGGATTCTGCATTAAATTTTGAATTCAGCCAAATAGCGCACTTGTAATTTCCCTTGAATACTGATGAAAAAAAGGCAATTTTCTTGCATATTATAAAGAGGACCATGAATAAGTCAAAATGTAATAATGGATTTATCGATCTGTCAGATTTGACGAAATTGTATTCAGTTTTTCGTTGTTTTTTTTGTAAAATCCAAAAATGGTTCAATTCTCAAATGCAGAAAAGTTGGATGTGATATGAATTTGTGGCGAAGCAAGAAGTAATTCAAAAAAGGCAGTGAGAATATACGCTAATCGGTATTCCGACAGAAGATTACCGTCAGACAAAACATTCGCTAGCTTAGCCAAATCTTTGGCATAAAATGGATGTTTCAATAAACAGAAGCGAAAAAAACTGCTGCAGATGAGAATCACACTGTTGCAGTGCTAGGTCAAATGGTATTGGAACTACATAGTACTACCCCACAAGTAGCAATTGATTGAGATATTTTGAAATCGTCAATACAACGTATTTTGTCAAAAAAATTCTATCCTTACAAAATACATATGTTTCAGGGCCTAAATCAAGGTAATAATCTTTATGTTTTATTGTCGATAACTATAACATATTCCCATATTTAGGAGTTGCTGATAGAAGATTGAATTTCATGCCATTGTTGTCCTCTTGACGAATCTCAATTGAAAGGGCAAGGGAAATAATTTCCAACCTGATGACTATGAAGTAAACAAAATATTATGGAGTGATGAGCCGTTTCTATAACAACGGCATAATTGTCACTATTGATCTAAGCTGAACCCTCACTGGATGCAAGAAACGGGATTTCAGTTTGTGTGAGGGGTTAATGTTTGGTGCGGAATCATTGATGGTTATTCGATAGGATCCCATTTTGTCCAAGGGATTCTCAATGGGGAGAGGTACTTGGGTTTTCCTCCAACATGTGTTTCTGAAACTCTTGGAGAATTTACCAATACAAACTCAACTGAATATGTGGTTTCAACAAGACTGGGCACAATCGCATAATAGAATGGTTACCCAATATTTGGATGACACTTTTGATGGAAAATGGATTGGAAATAAGGGTCCGATACCATGCCCAGCTCGAAGTCCAGATATTACTCCACTGGTTTTTTTGTGCGGATATTTTAAAGACTTAGTTTGTATACGACGTCCACAAAGTGTAGATGATTTGAAAAATAGTATCACAAAAGTTTGTGCTTCCATATCGTGAGAGACCCTTTCAGCTGTCACGAATCGAGAATTATAAAAAGATGCAATATGTGTATTTTACGTGAAGGGAGGCAGTTCGAACACTAATTGTTTTCGATATTACCATGTTGGTCGACTTATGGTCAAAGTAAAATTATTTTTGGTAATTTGAAACATTTATTTTAGTTTGTATTGTCTGTGATTTTACAGAAACACACAACTAGATAAAACTGAACGGGCAATGCAATTATAACTGATGGATTGATTTCATTAAACTCGTATTATTTCATTTATTTTGACTTATTCATGTCCCTCTTTATAATATGCAATAATATTGCCTTTATGAAGAAAAGATAATTGAATCTTCCTATGTTTTTTACCACTTTTATTTGTAACTAACATTACTGCAGTTTCGTCCTATAAGTTTGAAAATGTCCTTATGGGACGAAACTGCAGTAACGTTTGTTACAAATAAAGTTTCAATTATATTTTCTTCATTATGATTTTCTACCACGTAATAACGGCTACATCCATCAAATCATTAAAATTGACTTTTTTCATCAGTATTTAAGGGAAACTGAGTTTCCTGTATGGCTGAATTTAGAATTTGATGTAAAAGCCAAAAACACATTGAAAAATCTATTTACGGTTTAAAAAAATTAGCGTCGGTGTGGCGATACCCTAACAGCATAACGGATGAAGTCTAGTGCTGTATCTCTATGTAAATAAGATGTTTCTTTGACATCAGTCATCTGCTTTCACGAAACATGTATATTCTTTTTCATTTTCCAGATATTTGCCCGCGGAGTTTTGTATGGGACACTCTGTATATTCAATTATTGTGTTGTATTTTCAAACATTGACTTGTTTTCTAGACGTGTTTTTATTTGTATTTTTGATATGTTGCATAATGCCTTTTATTTATTCTGTTTTTTTTTTATTGTATTGAGTAAAATGGTTTTGGAACCCATGAATAAATGAATAAGGAACATTCAAGTGTCTTGTCTATGATGTTTAGACCATTGAGTTTAATTGAAATTGATGTACTAATAGAACATTTGAGTCAATCAAAATATGCTTCATTATCTAAGATACACTTTCATTAACAAAGCTTGTATAAAAAAATGAAAAAATAATCATATATCAATACATAATTATATACATACAGGTAGTCTCATCAAAATATTGAAATATATGATGGAATTGTCCCATAATTGAAGAAAATCCTTAACTAACGTATTAAAAAAAAACTTTAATGTGAGATTTTCACTAAAAAGTTTTAAAAAAACAACACGTGTTTTGCCATAAAATTGTTTCTTTACTAGTAAAGACACGGCCGAAGAAGCCATTGTATGGCGAAACAAATGTTGCGTTTTTGTTAAAATGTTTAGTGAAAATCTCACAAAGTCTTTTTGAATATGTACGTTATAATATACAAATATGTAGTAGGGGTTTGACACTCTCATTTACCACATAAGTTGTCAAGTCACCAGCGGTATATTTAACTTCATTCAACAAGAGTTCCTTCAGTTTCTTGCGCTAAAGTGTGTCATTGGATATTATTCTTATTGAGAGGAGAATATGGTTAAATAGTTTTTCCCTTATATAATTGTGAATTCCTGATGTGTGATGTTGAAGGAACAGGAAGATTGATATTGTGAGTGAGACAGGTAGCATATACCTTAACTGTAAAAATATTTTTCTTGTATTTTCTTTTTACAAGGCAACCTGTCCCCTGAAATGAAAAGACAAGCTAGTAGAAGTAATGTTATACTGAAAAAAGATGTAAGATTTAAGTTTATTGTCAATACAGTGTCCGAAGAACGTATATTCTCTTGTTAATATATTCTTTAGATTCTTATAAAACATTTGATACTGCATATTATGATATATTGGTCTCAAAATTTAAAACAATTTTGACATCAGAGGGAATTTTCTTAGTTGGTTTGCAAATTATATGAGTGGTAGACAAAAACATGTTAGCATAGAAAATCGAAAAAAACTTTATAAAAATTGTATACTTTTCAGATTACTGAAAAAATTCAAAATGATATGAAAATGTAAAAATAATTTCAGGTTGACTACAGCATAAGCTATCACTACACAGAGTGTAGTCACTACACTACACAGAGTGTAGTGATAGCTTATCCATTGGGTATCTGTCACACGTACCTACAGAGTCCTAGGTCTACATGGTGTTTTCACCTGAACCATGTCATATGCACATGCAAATAAGAGGCAGCTGTAGCTACCTGCGTGGCATTCGGGCCCAGAAAATAATCAACCACATACACGTGTTTCGGGCTTTTGGCCTATCATCAGTATGGTGCAGCCAATTGCAGGGATGGGCAACACTTGGTTGTCAAAAGAATTACAGATGCACGGAACCATCAGCAGAAGCCAGCCGCACATTTGTGGTTTCAGTTAATACATATTGTGTTTACAATAATACATCGTTTGGCAGTGTAATAAACATTTTAAGTGAGAGATCATCCCATCCTGAAGAGTTTTTATTTTTTATTCCAGAGAGGATTTCTTTTATTTCATTTCCAGAGATTGGGGAATAGGTAGTTGAAAGAGTTTGGTATGACTATATGCCTAATGGTTGATATTTTTTGAGCAATGGAACAGTAGAAAGTGTTCAATTCATTTGAACTCGGTTCGCTGTCGATAAGAGTTTCGATTTTTCCTCTTAATTCGTTAATCTTCCATGTTTCCTGCTGTCTATTATTTGTATTTGATATTCGATTGCTGTAATTGTTTCGCATTTTTTAAATATTTCTATAAATGTTTCGATTATTGTTATATAGAGTCTTCCAACAAGGACTTCCGAACTTTGACAATTGATAACGGTTATATCAACATATAATATTCAACAACACGTGCAAATAATAACTTTGTTTTATCAAAATGGGTATTCTGTTCGGGCATCATAACGCGCGCTTCGCCCATTTTACGGTCGGCATAATCGTCCTACGAGAGGACAATGTGGTGAATAAATTTGTGTCCACTGGTTCAGTAAACGATCAACTAACACCCGTACGTTGACAAAACGCAAGATCTGCCGAAAACATCGCCGCTGTCTGTGAGAGTGTGCAGGAGAATCCGAGGCAGTCGATTTCGCGTGGCTCACAAAAACTCGGCCTTTCATATGTCACAACTTGGCGAATTTTGCGTAGTGACTTGGGCCTGCACCCGTACAAAATTCAGTTGCCAACTGCTCTGGAGCAGTTAGCTACTGACCCAAATTCTCATAGAAAAATCATCTTCAGCGATGAGACCCATTTCTGCATGAATGGGTACGTAAACAAACAAAATTGTCGAATTTAGGACGATATCAATCCACATGGAATTCAAAAGCGTCCAATGCATCCCAAAAAAGTCACCTGAATTGGATGATTTGAGGGCATGGTCATCTCACACTTTGTTTTATTTAAATTTAAAGATAGGAAGCGCTTAATGTAATTGACATGATCTCTGAAATATTAGCGAATATAGTGACACCTGTTCATATTTTAAGCTGAAACCCTTGTAATTCAAGCCTTTTTTTAGTTTGATGTTTTAAAAGAAAAGCTTAATCAAAAATAGAAATACATTTTTTGTGAAGTCAGATAATGAATCCTCAGTTGTACTGTCTCCAATGAACCTTTTTCCTGAAGTACGAAAAATCACTCACTATCAGCGCTAGTAGTTCAGTAGGGACAAACACTGCCTAATCCTCATATAAACATATGGTGAAGTTCAACTAAAAGAGAATGTTTTCAATAAATTGATGGATATAGCCGTTACTACGTGGTAGGAAATCATAATGAAGAAAAGATAAATTAAACTTTCTATTTTTTTTACCACTTTTATTTGTAACTACCGTAGTTTATTGAATTTTTGAATATGAGGATTCGCACAGGTAAGTTCACGCAAACAAGGTGAGGAGCAAGTGTACGCAATTTTTGAGCGTTTTGCAGTTATCCGGGATACAAATTTCCAGAATTCTTCACATTTGTTCACCTCTCAACAACCCCTACACAATTTTGTGTAGTTATCAGAAAATACTATTGTCAAATAATCTAAAAATATTGTATAGCCTTCAGGCTGCAGAAAAGGCTAGAGCCGCACAGAAAAAGCTGGCGGGCCGCAGGTTGAGTATCGCTGCTGTATACCCTACATTGTTTGTGCTGTAATATTTGCTAATGTAATAAAAATTGACCCACCATTTCAATAATCTTATAGTATTAATATTTGAAAAGATTACCATTAATCCAAAAGTTGTATTTCAACAATACACTTGCAAATATATTCAACTTAGGAAAAACACTTATTCTTAAACAATTTTTATTGATGTCATAAAAAACTACATAAATCGGATGTTCAAGTAGTAAAAAAAAATACCAAAATAAAAATCATTCATGTATCTTTGGTGAAATTATAGGAAACATTCTTCGATTTTTTTTCATGTAATCCCTTATAATTTATCACCCTTATAACACTCATTGTCAACTTTTACCTCTAGCTTCTATTTTTCATCAGTTTTCATCACTCATCAGTTATCACAAATGCCCTTGTCAGAAGCAATGATATTGTTACGATTACATTTGATACTTATCACAAACTATCAAGTTGTATTTCTTATACTAGTACGCCAAGTGGAAACTCATCTCTCGCATGTAAGGATAGTAAAGAAAAGAAATATTTCAAATCCTATTTATTGCACCAACATGTCGGAACAATAAAATCCGGTATTTACAACCTATGAACTAGATGCAGCAGCTGGTGCTGAAGCAACTTTTTCTTCTTCTTTTCTATCTTTCTTGAGAGGTCCCATGAAAGCGGCCTTATCGGCAGCAGTTTGGAATCTACCATGACCAAATTTGGACGATGTATCGATGAACTTTAGGTTGATCTTTTCTAGCGCAACACGTTTGGTGTGTACCAGAAGCGACTGAAAAAAAACAAAAACAAAATTAATTTACACGAACTTTTCAGCAATGTTTTCTTGATCATTATAATTCAAAAAATTAAATTTCTTTTCACTTACCTTCCTAAGAGTTATAATTCGCTTCTTGGGTCCAATACAACAACCCTTGATCATAACAAAGTCGTTATTGACTTCACCGTAGTGAGGGAAGCCACCCATTGGGGTGATGGACTTTTCACTCAAATCGTATTCAGTTGAAGCATTGTTCTTGATGACCTGCAAAAAAAAAACAATATTATTAAACTGGTGGCACATGCAAACAAGATTAACATTATGCATTTCATGAATCAGTCCTATCATTCAAGATCACGTGGTTGTCATAATCCTTTTGGCTCAAATAGTTTCATCATTTTATTTGTTTATTCAAAAACTACGAAGGTGTAGAAGTGCCACAACCGTTTCTATTTTGATCCACTAAATTCAGTCTGAATTTAGTAAAATTCAGAGTTCAAAGTCAAAATTTAATCGGTTATATTTTGATCCACTGAATTCAGAGTTTGGATTCAGTAAAATTCAGAGCCTGGATTCAGTAAAATTCAGAGTCTGGATTTGATAAAATTCAGGGTCTGGATTTAGTAAAATTCAAAGTTCCACAGTCAAAACTTAACCGTTTCTTTTTGATCCACTAAATTCCAAGCCTTAATTCAGCAAAATTAAGACTGAATTTAGGAAAATTCAGACTGAATTTAGTAAAATTTAGACTGAATGTAGTAAAATTTAGAGTTAAAAGTCAAAATCTAACAAAAAAATCAAGATGCAAATGTAAGTTGATTATCATTGAATTCAAACTTTAAACTCGAAATTTCTAATCATTTAAGTAATTTTAGCATTAAGAAAATATTTTCACCCTTCAAAACCTTCACGAATAACAACAAAATTTGGTAAGTTCTCACAAGCATGAAGCTATTGTATAGCAATGTGTCGCGCTTTTGTAAAACCGTTTAAATACACCTCAAACAGAAATTAATTTTTACCTTTCCATCTTTCGTATGGATACCGGCACCAATCCTGTATATCTTCTTATTCATTTCAGTACGATGATGGTAACCCTTTTGACCAGCACGGGCCACGGTGAATGAAACTCTAGAAGGATGCCATGCTCCAATACAGGCAACCTTACGGAGACCCTTGTGCGTCTTTCGGGGCAACTTCTTCGTGTGCCAACGTGAAGTCACACCTGAAAAATTCGTTAGTCATTAGTTGGGATTCCACAAATTGGAAAACTATCTAGTAGAAATAAATGAATCAGTAGGAAGGCAGCATGGTTGTATCTTCAAAAAAAATCAGAAGCACAATCCATGTATTTTCATCATTATATAAAAAAACGTAAAAAAAATAGTCAAAACTGAAAACAATGAATTTTTCACTATTTTCAGTTGAAGGAGTTGAGAATGTACACCTGCAACAAGTCACTGGGGGGTCAGTAGAAATGAAGAGGTACCTAGTAAATTTAGAATATAGGACTTGTAACAAAACAGTAGTAATTCGTACTTTTATAAAGTGAAATTTAAAATCGAGGGAATTTAGCCATTAGAAACTAGGTGAATACGGAACAGTTTAGTAGGGAGAAAATTTGTGCTAAATGAACAAACAAATCAAAAATTCAATAAAAATGTCAGATATCAGCAGCATTCAGAAAAGAATGTTTTAGAAAGAACAAAACATTTAGAAAAACTGAAAGATAACATTCATGATGAAAAAAATATCCTCAAAAATTGTAATAGAAGATACAATCAAATTGTTTTCAACTTGGATCGATTTTTTCCTTAGGTTTGGTCTTGTTCTAACATCCGAAATTATTTGGAAACTGCTCAAGACATGATGCATACAAACAAAAAATCTCAAACAGTCCAAAATAGTATCGGACAGTTGGTTAAACCAGAACGCATTCTGAGTGAGACCACTGTGCCACCTATCATATATATGAAGACGAGAAAATACTGTTAATCATGTTCATTTTGTTATGTAGCGTATCCTTGTAGTCAGTTCAAATGTTATCTAACCTCAATCATCAATTAATTAAATAAAAAACATCCTAGAAAATATCCCAAACAAATTTCCACATGAATGCGCAAGAGCAATGGGAACAGTTCTTAACAGTTCAGCCTCTAGAGCAAGAACGATTCAGGACGGTTCAAGACACTTAGATTCATTTTGCAGTCGAAACCAGAACAAAGGATTCATCAATCTGAACTTATCCTCAATAAACCAGAACGCTCTATATCAACTGCGCATGATCCTGACCTAGAACCTGAATTTTGTAGAACCAGAACAAACCTCATTTTTCTCAACTAAATGTCCAATTGAAAAACATTTTGAAAAAATACCTATTATTCTTAGATTTGAAAGTTTTTTTTATCTTGAAAAAAAAAAGCAGAAGGGGATTAAAACATACCTTTATAACCATGACCTTTGGTAACACCAATGCAATCAATCATTTCATCTTGGGCAAATACATTGCTCACAGGAACTGGTTTTTCGAGGTGTTCCCTAGCCCAGGCTACTTTATCAGCAACTGTGCCACCATTCAATTGAATTTCCATAATGTGGGCCTTCTTTTGACGTTGTTTCAACAATTTCATCTGAAGAAAAAAACAAGCACGTTAATGATAGAGACCTACATTAAATAATTATCTCACTGACAAGCACATGGTTAAAATGTACAAATTGCGGTTGCAATTCAAAATCAATACTTGTTAAATATTGTAGAGAACATGGTTTTTCAACGTGTCATCATCCAGGGACTACACAATTGACTATGGAATATGTCCTCCGCGCCTCCCGAAGGGCACTTTATCTATGACACTGTGGCAAAGGTTTCATCAACAAAAAACCTCTAGGCCACCAGCTGGAGGGTAAGCTCCGACACTGATCGTGTCAACAACAAAATAAAACTTACAAAGTTTATTTCAATTACATAATTTTGAATAAAATGCATATAGTTTTCAAAGACGACCACTGAAAATGGGTTCAATAGCTACCGAATTCATCTTCAGAGATGATAGATAGATCTTTATTTAAAATTCCAAATTCAGTGAAACAAACTTCGAAAATAAACATTTTTTGGAAGAAATGAGCCATATTAGTAACCGATTCAATTTGAAGCACATATACTTTTTTTAATGATTGACTATACAAATTTGAACTACATGTGACAACAGTTAACTAAACAAACACAAAGTAGCCAACTTACAAAAAGAACATACGGAATAAGTGCCCTAAAGCACTTGAAATGTTGACAGTGGCATATGGTGATTGAACTGAGTCAGAAGAATGTTCCAAGTAGTACAAGTTGTTCACAGAAGGTGGAGAAGATGCTTCAGCACATCAACAACCGATGAAAATATTGAGGAAGTGAAAAAAATGGTAAGAGATCATCGAATCACTACGAGAGAAGTTTCCGTGAATGTCAGCATACCGGTTGGCTCATGCCATGCAATTTTTTCAGAAATTTTGGGCTAAATCACGTGGCAGCAAAATTCATTTAAAAATTGCTGTGAGAAAAATGAAAATTCCAATCACCTAGGCTTCTAGACTAAATTTCAACAGCCACATCAACAACAAATAAAAGAGATTGCAAGAGCCGCACATTTCACAAGTTTGACACACCCGGGAGCAGGTGCAAACATATCAACAGCAAGCCGAATATATAAACTAATCTGTCGTCCACTAATTGAACACTCGCATCTGATGTTTCTCAAAATCAAACGAAGGGTCTTGAAAACAATTAAAGTATCTGAAACAATGGCTATAAGGAAAATAACGAAATTAAGGCATCCTAATAACCCCAAACACAACCCTCCAAACCCTCTGCTGTACCAACTAACTGGTATTATTCCTACTGAGGAAAGACTAGTCACTTAGTCAGAAGTTTGCTAGAAAAGATGACAATGTAGAAATCATTAGGAAAGTATGCAGTGACAACAAACCTCCACGCAAGATTACGACATCGACCCCCCACACTGTTTATGAAAATTCTCCCTATTTTTAAAACAGACCTCGTACGTTGATATATTTATAAAGATAATTCAACTAATTTACTATATGAAGGTAAGCAATTTCCCAGTTCACACTGGCACTTGAACCCTTAATTTCAGTTATCATGCAAAGAGAAACTCAAGACACGATTCTCACAAAAAACTGTAAATCATGAAGAATTACCTATAATTTACTGATAAGCATTAAAGTGCAATACTAACCTGAGTGTGTGCAATCACTCTAACAACTTTACAGTATTTGACGATTTTCCTGAAGTCACGTTCAATGGATTTTTTACCCAAATCATCATTCCACTTTTTTGAAGCTTTGGTGAATGCCTTCTTCTTGCTCTTGTACCTGTATCGACATCGACAATTGTTATGAGCGATTATTTGCATTGAATGGATGCATTCAGGGATCTGCAAGAACAAAGAGGGTGTTGCCTCATAGTTTAGCGGAGACATTCCCTCAGTGTCACTTCACTCGGAACTCTGCATTCAGTGCTATCATAAGTCAATCAAGTGAATAGTTCGGAATGGAAATTCAGATTGGAATAAGTTCCGTTACTCTCACTTCAATTGAAACTCATTCAGCATCTTCATATAAGGCGAGTTTGAGTTCAGTGAATGGTTCATACCTTCATGTTGCCAGAGGAAGGCTAGCAGGAATTTATTAATGCAATTCAATACACAAATTTAAATTGTTAATAGAACACACCATACATAGTATGATACTAACTCATTTTAACAAAGGAATTTGGGAATACAAAAAATAACAATAAACATTTCATGAGGTTAACTTGTTGCCTCGCAAGGTACCCAATCATGTTACGGAATTAACAAGATTGGGGCATAAGAGCTGGAATCTTTCCTCTCCGAGTATCTTTAGCACTAACACGACTATTGTTAGTTTCAGTTAGTGACTCTAGACTCGGGTTTGTATTTCTCAAAAACCAGATGTGTTCTATTAAATAATACTAAAAAATTCTCACCAATTCTTATAGAAGCGTCTACGGCAATCTTCAGAAAGATGCTCTGCCCAAACAGTAGCCAAAGCACGAAGTCCATGAGGAGTTTCAATGTAACCAACTACGCCTACTATAACTATTGGAGGAGTTTCCAAAATGGTTACAGCTTCTACGATCTCTTTCTTGTTTATCTCTGTAATCAAATGAAAGTTTTATTTTTCCATAATACAGTCACTTTCATGTTCACAATAATAGATCTTGGTGGTAACATTGAAGAAAATTAAACTGGTAGAACTCCAAAATGAAGAATGTTCCTAAATTTATGATCGGTAGCCTTAGAGTAGAAGATTTCACATATTTTTATGACAGAATGTTGTCACCGCTGCTTCATCAATGTCCTATATTCAGATGCAACCAGTTTTGGTGTTCAGCTCATAAATTTAACAAGCATGTTCCTTCAAGGACCAAAAATTAAAATTTACTTGGAAAAACTGATATCTACCACTTTTTCACAGTGAAAATAAATCAAGCTTCAGACAGTAACAAACTATGTGTCAAAAGTGAACGGTTCACTTTTACAGCAGCAAAAATACCCAGATATTCAAACAATTCTGGGCTTTATTGGGTGGGGAAAAACTCACGTTATAAGCACTTATCATTCATACAATTTCGACTAGTGTTGAATCTTTACATGGACTAAAAACACTGAGCATTATTTGTTGACCAAGTCTTTGCATAATGGATAGTCATAACTTGCTAGAAAACTACATTAATTGTATTGAAAAAGAAACGTTAGTGCTAAACCTGATAGCCAGTACTGTCCAATACATTTATTATAGTCAAATTTGCCTACAGAACCATAATGTATGTTATATTTGAAAACTTACTTGATCCAGGACGATCAGCTTCTCGAAGAACATGGGTCATACCAGCCTTATAGCCCATGAATGCAGTTAGATGTACTGGTTTGGAAGGATCATCCTTTGGGAAGGCCTTGACCTTACCACGATGTCTTTGGGACCTTTTCTTAGGGTAGAATCCCATGGACCCATGTCGAGGGGCGCTAAATTTCCTGTGAGACTGGTAATGAAGAAAAAAAAAGTTTAAAATATGCAAACTGCAATAGCTTTCATATTATTGTGAAATGAAATATCAGACCGCCCTAGAATAGCATCCACATTTTGTGTTCGGTGTAAACCATAAACAATAAATCTAAATCATCATGTGTATTTCAAGAATTCGCAAAAAAATATTATTACCAACAGTTAAATTAAAGGTTTTGGATTTTTTCCAGCATGATGGATGATCATAATCAAAAAAGATTGAAGGTATAATTATAGATAAATGTAAAATCGAATATTAAATTTAAGTACTTACCATGATGAAACCGATTCACAAATGAAAGATTTGATGACGGCGATTTATAATGTAAAGTTTTCTCACTGTAGAGGGCGCGAATGCATATGGTGGTTTCATTGCTCTGATCTACTCTGAGGTTATCGGGTTATGGATTTCGAACACTTCGAACCGTTAATAGAATGTACGTAAATAGCAAATCATAGCGGTTTCCATTAGTTCAACCGATACTAGTTGAATGGATATTTTAGCTGCATTCGAGTCGTGATGTAATTACTTAAACCCCGCCCTATGTAAAATATTTTAACGAAAACACTCTTGATTGTTCGCATAGGCGATTCGGTTTGAACACCATGGTATTTATTTCCATGTTAGTCAAATGAAATAACATGAAATTGTGTTTGAAAATAAGGAAAATCGATACTTCTTTTTTTTTACAGAAAGGGTTTTATAGAAGTCAAATTTCAAGTATTTGATGCCTTCTAAGGAGTGTTTTCACTATTGTCGATCGATCAGAAGCTAGAATTCCAAAGTAATTTTTCTATTATTAATAATCCAGCATTACTGTAGTTGATTATCATTATTTTGGATATCATTACTGATAATTAATTTTAGTTATAGTGGGGTTAATTTTGGTTAAAGTCGGGTTTTCTGAATGTTCATGAGATAAAAACGAGTGGTGCTGGTGTTTGGGAAAAGTTATTTGTATTCAAAACCAAATCGAGTTCAAATTGTGAGCTATAGATGAGCGGTGTGACGACCCTGATCAGTTGTAAAAACATCTCCCTCTCTTTCAGTCGTAAAAACGTCAAAAGTTGAAAATTAATACACAGCTTAATTAATATATTTGCCCTTCATAGACATGATAATATGGACTGGCCGTGACTTCACTTTCACATATATTTCACCTGCGTCTTGGGCACTGCGTCACAGCACCATGTGGCATCCCGAAATTTTCACAATGTAAATATGCAACATGTAAAACATGGCGTCGTTGTACCTGATGTTAACTCGTGCGTTCCACTCACAGTCAGCGCTCACAACGATCACGCTCACGACCGCAGTTTTTCCCGTTCCACTCGCTTGCGAGCGTTAATTTCGTAAACTCAAGTGGAATGGATTATGGAACGTTTTGGGCGTTCATGTAAATATTACAAACGGCGAGGTTGAAAAAAGAAAGTAGAAGTTTTAATGAGGTTACGTAAACGTTAACAATGAGTTTCAATAATTGCAAGCTAACTTTATTTATATTAAATAAGAATTATAAATTATCAAAGTAATTGAGTTTGAATGTAATCTGAATGTCTTATACGGCAATTGGAGATTTGGAGATGCGTCACAATAGTGCTCCAGAAACTATTTCATCTTGTTCAGATGGAGAGTGGAATACAACTTTACAAAATAATGATCGTGATATTCGTTATTCTCGTTATTCTCTAAATATATATCCTCTTTTATGAACAGGAGGGAACGAAGCAGCACCTTTGATGTGAGTTTTTTTTCTTCTTTTTTTTTATAATCTCAGTTCTTTGAATTGATTTGTATTTCATGATTGTTCCAAATAACAGGCCAATGTAGGTATTTTCTGGGCAAGACATGAAATTGGGAAAAAAATTAAATAGATATATGATATTGAATAATACTAAAGTTGAGAAATTAGAAATTAATTACGAATGACAGATAACATTTATGTCATATTTCATATTTCCAATTCGACCTCTTCAGATGGGTCGTTGTGAGCTTGCCGTGAGCGAAAGTAATGATGTCATGAGTGACGTTTCCGAGGCGACCACAACGACGGCGGTCATTATGTGGAACGGTTATAGGAGCATTTTGATCGTTGTGAGCGCTTAGTGGAACGCACGGTAAGTGTATGAATGAAGTGAATGCCACGACGTGAATCTCTTCATCTTCTTTTAGTTGTTTTCCTGTTTATGTTCTCTCTTCAATGGCCTGTCCATATTAATACGTCATTGTTGTCCTTTTGTTTTGAATAAATTTTGTTTTCACAGCTTTTTTATTTATTTTTCATTTCAGTCTTTTGAATGATAAAATTTCAAACAGAAAAACTTCATACTTTGGTAAATACTCCTATTTATTTTCTATCGGACATCAACATTTCTTTCTTTTAGGAAACAATAAAGAACATTAAAAATGGAAACTGTAGATATTCAAGCCATGGAATCAAAATTAAGTGATGTAACAGTCACTGCAATTCCAATGCCTACAAAGAATTCTAGTGCTTCACAGCCCCAAACAAATAATGGAAAACAGGATCCAAATATTTCAAAATATGCCCAACTTCTTGGTGTTATCGAGGAAATGGGTAGAGAAGTTCGACCAACTTATGCAGGAAGTAGGAGTTCTGCGGAAAGACTGAAACGTAATATTGTATCTGCAAGAATTTTGGTCAGAGAATGTTTAATTGAAACCGAAAGGAGTGCTAGGCAGTAAATTCTATAATTTTATCATCTTGGTTTCGTCAAAGTTCAGGATATGGGAAAGAGGGTCAGTGACTGGTATATTAAAAATATTTGAGGGTATGATGTAGAAAGCATGCGCTTTCCTATTCCTACTGTATCAGATTATTTTTTGTTATTGAAGCAAACACAAATTTTCAAAAAGGTGGCAGTTAATATGTAGAACATGTAGGTGAGTGTCAAAATAGTGGGAATAATTTAAGTAAAAAAGGAAATATGATCAATATCTGGCAATTTTTTAGGAGCATTTTCAATTTTTATTGAAGAACAGTGTATAATGAACCAAAAAATGTATTGCATTTCACTCAGAGCATTTCTTTTCAACAAATTGTCAGCTGCCACAAAATTATACAATTTTGGAGGAAAATGATGAAATGTGAAAAACCAAAGGTTTCAACATGAAAACAGAACTAAAAGTATCAAGAAAAATGAGAAATTAAACTTTGTATGTTTCTTTGATANGTAATAGTATAGAGAGTAAGTAATTGTTATTAATTTGATTTCAATAAAATTGTCCAAGATTTTTTTATTTTTTTTATGTTTGGAACTTTTAATGATTGAAATGGGCAATTTATTCCTCTTGAGGCTCTACAAGCTGTGTCTTTTACACCTTCCCTATCAACTAAGCTATACTATTTTCTGCATGAATTGGCCGCGGTGGTAGTGCGCCCAACTTACGATCGGAAGGCCGTGGGTTCGATTCACGCCTCGACTAGATATTTTTCTCGAGAGAATTTATCTGGTTGAAGCTGGGATGATTCTGTAACCGTGTTAGGAACCACACGTTGAAAGGTAAGACCTCGTTAGTCCTTAGCTCGCACAAGTTTCTCAACTTCTGAGAGTTGTCGTTCTTTAGGGAACGACAGCTGATTAACGGAAAAACAGATTTTAAATAAATTTTTCTGTAGACAGTTGAGGAATTTCTAGAGGTCATTGTACTTTAACCAATGTTTCTATTGATTTTTAATTGAGAAAAATAGAACTTTTAATGATTCATACCTTACATTTCATTCCCACAGTATCGTAGCTCAAAAAAGGTACAATTGCAATTACTTACAGTTGATTCTCACATTGTCATAAGAAAAGGGCTTAGCGCAAAAAAGGTACAATTGCATTTATCTACGATGAAAGTTGCTGTGCTATTTTTCAAGAAAAGTAAATGTTACTAAGAGGTCAGCATATTCTGAAACATGTAGGTATTAGTGAGAAATCATAGGCATAACATTACTTTGGACAAAGTATTGAGTAACACATTGCCAGTATATGTACACAATTAATCCTCAACATTCATATATGAATAAAACATTTTAAAACACCGGTGCTTGTGCGAAAGAGGCGATTTACATCTGATTTAAATTATGTGGATTATATTCATTTAGAAACACTGTCCAATATGTTTTTCCAACAAGGTTAAGGTTGCAGTTTTCCAATTAGATATTTCTTGAAATTTGTTTTGCGACAATTGAGAATATAAAAACCGAAAGTTGAAAATTTACCGAGTAGTATACCTTTCTTAGCGGCTAATACAGTAGTATACTACCTGTAATATCTATAAACAACTCCCTAACCTTTCTTCAAAACAGCAAGCAGATGGCTCTCCTGGATAGAATCTAGCACTCTCAGGATATGCTTAGGGACAGGGCTGCATATAAGTGAGTATTACACCAATGAACGCCTAATGTGAGCTTTATGTGGAATTATAAGTTGCTGCAAACAATTTTCTGATTCAAAATTTCTGAGAAACGGAGTTTGCTATTCAAGCAATGTGATTGTGCCGGGATATATTGGTATCCAACTTGTGAGTTGATGGCAAAGATATTTCAAAGAGAAACATTGATGGCTACTTGTAAGAACTGGTCTTCGACCGAGCTAGAGAGCTGCAAACATTATTTGATAAGCCGTAACATTAATAAATGTAATGACAAACATTAATAAACCCTTATATTGAAAAAGGGGCAGTAGAGGCCTTAAAATACCACATGCAACAGTCTTAGGCTATTCATATTTTTTGTGCTTTTACATCCTGAAGATGAAAGTCAGGTGTGTTACTGAAAATGTGGGAGCCTCCCGATACTTGAAAATTTTGATTGTGTTGATATAATTTTAAAATTTTGTACATATTTACTAGAGTTGTATTGAATACTTGGTTCTCATACCTTCAATCACTACACATAGTGTAGTCACTACACTACACAGAGTGTAGTGATAGCTTATCCATTGGGTATCTGTCACATGTACCTACAAAGTCCTAGGTCTACATGGTGTTTTCACTTGAACCACGTCATATGCACATGCAAATAAGAGGCAGCTGTAGCTACCTGCGTGGCATTCGGGCCCAGAAAATAATCAACCACATACACGTGTTTCTTTTATTTCATTTCCAGAGGTTGGGGAATAGGTAGTTGAAAGAGTTTGGTATGACTATATGCCTAATGGTTGATATTTTTTGAGCAATGGAATAGTAGAAAGTGTTCAATTCATTTGAACTCGGTTCGCTATCAACAAAAGTCTCGATTTTTCCTCCTAATTCGTTAATCTTCCATGTTTCCTGTTGTCTATTATTTGTATTTGATATTCGATTGCTGTAATTGTTCTCGCATTTTTTAAATATTTCTATAAATGTTTCGATTATTGTTATATAGAGACTTCCAAACTTTGACAATTGATAACGGTTATCTTGTTGAAGCTACATTTGTCAATATATTTGTCAAATATTCAGTCTGCGTTACCAAATTTTCATGGACGGATATAATATTCAACAACACGTGCAAATAATAACTTTGTTTTATCAAAATGGGTGTTCTGTTCGGGCATCGTAACGCGCGCTTCGCCCATTTTACGGTCAGCATAATCGTCCTACCGAGAGGACAACGTGGTGAATAAATTTGAGTCCACTGGTTCAGTAAACGATCGACTAACACCCGTACGTTGATAAAACGCAAGATTTGCCGAAAACATCGCAATTATGTGTCTTCGCCGAATGGACTGTGGAGCAGTTGGCAACTGACTCTAATTTTCATCATCTTCAGCGATGAGACCCATTTCTGGACGAATGGGTACGTAAACAAACAAAATTGTCGAATTTAGGACGATTTCAATCCACATGGGATCCAAAAGCATCCAAGGCATCCCAAAAAAGTCACCTGAATTGGATGATTTGAGGGCATGGTCATCTCAAGTAGAGGTGTAAACTGGCCACCAAGATCGTGCGATTTGACCCTGTTTGACTTCTCAAGTCGCAGGAGTATGCGAATAAGGAACAAACCACAGCGGTCCTCAGTCATTATAACCAATGCCATCGGTCAAATTCAGCCTATTTATGCGCAGGAGTCATGTCATGGAAAATTGGTAATTGAAAAGTAACTGGAATAAATTGAATTGATAGACTAGTTAATATACAAACTCTTGTCAAAGAGTAGCGGTAGATTCAAACTGTAATAAATAACGAACGACAACCCTCAGAAGTCGAAACTTGTGCGAGCTAGGGATTAACGAGGTCTTACCTTTAAACGTGTGATTCCTAACACGGAATATTTGGAATATTCATTCTTATTTCTGTTTCTTCCATATTTTTCCATCACTCATTTTCATTATTTCGTCTTAGTCTTTATTGTTTACATATTATTTTCTTTCACATTTTTTCAATATTTCCTTTTTCAACTAGCTCATCGGAATGTTTTGATCCGGATATTTGTAATATTTTTTACCCTCATTCATATATTTTCTCATTTTCATTTCTCGTAGATTTAAAAAATGGTAATAACATTCGCAACTGTTAGGACACATAATAAATCAGCTCTGACTAGACTGCGGTACTGTCAACTCATTGTCGCATAATAGAAATAAATCTATTTTATCCACATACGGAAGTAACGAAAGAACCACAAGAGACCACACGCCCCTTAGCGCCCTTACGCGGAAATAATTCTCGTGATTCTCCTCATTGATGTGGATCTCAAATATCTCAAGTAGTGAGAGACGACATTTCTCTGAACTCTTTTTTCTTTGAAATATTCCATTTTGAAAATGGTCTTCAATTTGAACCCTATTTGACATTGGATTCGATTCACTTTTCCCAAATGCCAACGCTGCCGATGGTTATTTGATGAACATTCAGAAAAATTCTATTAGAATCATAACTGACACAACTGAAACGTCCACTCTGTGAAAAATTGGAATTAAGAGAAATTACCATCCACCAGATATCGCCAGGAATGCGTTTTCTTGAGATTTTCACTTTTGTTTTATAAATTAATTGAACTCTTAATGAAATCAAAATATTTTAAAGCCGAGACTAATGCGTGTTTCCTATTCAGCTCCAGCTCCAATATATCAAGCTCAGTGCTATACCGGTGCAAATCGAAAGTAATTACCGTTTCTAACCTAACCTAACATTATTTTGAAGTTTAACCTTTAAGTTAAAACCAAATGTAACAAAAAATATTAAACTTCCACATAAAAGTTATAATGGAAGAATGCTTGTCTAAAAAATGCAAAACACTATTTTCATTTGATACTGTACTTTGTGCAGACTCTGTCGAGTGGTGCCCCCACAAACCATTTCAAAATGTATTTGTTTGTGCAAATTATGAACTGGAACAGGATCACTCTAATGGTAACAAACTAAAATTTGAAGAGGATAAAGATACTCAACAGAATTAATTTAATTCACGAATTATTGGATTTATGTAAGCTAGTTGCTTTTATTTCTATGTGCAGTGTGTTCTCTTAAAAGCAATCCACTCCCAGCTCAGAGGCTGAACGATTTTTGTATCTCAACTGCAGGCCATGGTCTATAACAAATAAATAAGTTTTACCCCCTAATGCCTGTTGTCAATAGCATTTTAATGAGTATAAAAAGCACTACTTGTTTACCAATTTGACTGACTTCGTAACTTCGACAATAATAACAAAGTCACCAATGGTGCACACTAAATTTGTAATTAATATGTAAATAGTTATTTTAACCGTGGAAACCTACGTTCCTATATTAATGAATTAAATTAAATCTGAGAAATGGTCATAAAGTTGATATTTTTCTTCTGTATTAGTTAGTCATCTGTGTTGAACAATGAATCTACTGGTTGACGTAAATTCACTTTATTTTTTGAATTGCATTTTCAACATTTGAATAATAATGAATGAAGTAAATACTAATGAAAAATATCTTGATTCATTATTGAACTAAATTGGGAAAGGTTTTGGCTTTCTACTTCTCCATCTTGCTACAAAAAAATGTGGGAATCTTCCAAAGAAAGGAAGAAAGTAAACGATTTCAAAAATACACCCTTTACAAAGATGTGTAGATCATACAAAGAATTAACTTTCAGACACAAACTGGAAGAAAATGCCCTCCTGTAACAGCTACTTTCATATAAACATTGAATTACACGAAAGAAAAAAAAAATTTTTCGAAACAAATACTTCTATATGAACACTGAATTATACAGAAGATACTTTTCTCTACTCANAATAGCAAGAAGTTATTAAATCACCTTCCCATCCTTTTTGGAAGGCCCTATTATACTGTGGACGAATTCTGGGGTAATTCTTCTGTTCTTATATTTATCTCAAATGTGATCCTAATCGTGGGCGTAAAAATAAAACAGATCCAGTTATTTACCTCAATGAGTGAAGTCGGGGTTCGGGAACAATCTAAGGTTGAGCATGGCGTTGTCATATGAATATTTGATAATTCTACAATATCCAGCAACACTGCCCTAAATTATATCGCCAATGATAACGCCGTTCAGTAACTTGAAATTACAACCAACACATATTTTTGTTTTTATCATCACCCCATTAATTGAATGGTGTGCACCACTGTCGGTGGAGGGTAAGTCACAGTCTATCGCAGGTCTCCTCTTTCCTTGTAACTTGCGCGCCCGTGAATCTAGCAACTTCAACACAATCTATGTCGTAGATATTAATTTGTTGATTCCATTCACTTTTTTACGTCCATGATACAGATATCCTTTGCACACTATAAACATTTAATTTTTTTCAGGTAGCAGTGGTAAGAAACGAGTTGGAAAAATACAATTATTTTCAATTTGTCCACAAAATGGGTTAAAATTGCACGACACAATCGATACGTCTGGCGTACTGGATCAAAAATGGTGTATGCACAAAGTGAATAACAAGTCGCTTTTAGGCGTTGTTAATGCCGACAAAAAAGTAGAAGTCTACGCTTTAAATGCAGAACTTCTTGTTCTGGAACTTTTGTCATCCTATGAAATTGATGCTGATACTTCAGAGACATTGATTTTATCTTTAGACTGGTCTTCAGCAATAGACAAATCAAGTGAACCAGAAATAATTTGCAGTGATTCAAAGGGAAATGTTCACTTAGTACAATTGAGCAATGAAACAATATTATTGAAAGAAAGCTACCACTGCCATGAATTTGAGGCCTGGATAGCTGGTTTCTATTACTGGAATACTAATATATTCTTTAGTGGTAATTATATATTTTTTAGTAGTCATTAAGATAAAAATTTATATTAAGAAATGTTACTGACAAGTTGGATAAATTCCTGGCTGAATCATAGTATTTTTATTTATTTATTAAGTAGGCAAGCCTAATATACAAAAAAAAGAAAAATTACAAATTCATAAATATCTCATGACATTAACCATGTAAATATAATAACATTTTAAAGTACCTTTCAAGGAAAACCAAATATACATACATATCTATAGATTGTTAGGTTAGTTCACATTAAAAAATAAAAAATGACAAATATCATAATGAGCTGTCACTAATATACTTCTTTTTAAATTTATTGAATTAGATTCTTTTACAAATTGTGGTAGTTTATTAAATTCGTTTAAGCCTTTATGAAATATACTATTCATTCCAAATTTAGTGTTTTAATTTTTTGCTCATAATATTCAGTACTAAAAAAATTGAAATTAAAATCACCAATCAATAAACATCTTTTACCATCAGAAAAATGTTTTTCTATCACATCCTCCAGAGCATCAATAAAAACAGGCTTACTGGAACTTGGAGACCTATAAAGACCCCCAATGTTCCATATATTATTACCTATTTTGATTTTTATGAACAGACACCACCATATTGAAACAAAGTAATTTTCCTGAGGAAATGAAATAATTCATACTTTATTTCGAACGATTTTTCAACGTTTAAATGCCAGAAATCACCTTTATTCTTGAACCTTTTTTTTCAACTTCTTGTCAACAGTATTTGGATATTCTTAATGACGTTTTCCACAAATTCTCATATAACTACTTTTCATATATATGATGAAGCACGAAACAAATCGCAACAGAAAAATATGACATAAATCATTTATTTGGTGAAAAACTAAACATGTTGAACAACTGAAACTGAGAACATATGTTCGAAATGAACCAACATAAAAAAATGTTGCTAATCGAATGTAGTAGCTCGCAAAATTTGAAAATTCACCTTTTTTTTTTAACAGTCCACTTATATTAACCCAGATTATGAGAAGAAGTAGCATATATGATATTGGTCATATTAAACTGTGTCCCATAGATATGTGAAGGCCATTTCACCATATTTAAAAATGATACGAATTGTATTAACATAATAACATGACTAGTATTTCATCATTTAATTACAAATGTAATCTTATGAACTGACACCATTTCTTCATTTGATTATAAAAAAAATCTACAAGTAAATCTGGACACCGATTTCAAATTTCCAAAAATAATGCCAATTCAATAATCTGAAACAGAAGTTGTCTTGGGGATGTTATGAACTGGCACTTATGTTTTCGAGAGATTTTGTCTTTTGGTCTGGGTAGGTAGCATATCATTTATTGTGGTTTGTAGATGGTACAAATATCTTGTTTCCTCAATATTGCGATTTTGTTAGCAACAGCTCTGATGAAAGGCAAAGTATAAACAACCAAACATGTTATACTTTATTATGGATTTATTGGATTTGTATCTTTGTAATATCAACACATGATGTTCCTGTATTGTGGTGGGTCTTATGTTTGGTAGGATTTTTTGTGGGTTATAGCCTCTTTTATTGGTTTGTAATCGGTAGCCATTTTGTTGCAGTGCTTTTGTTTCAATGCTTTTGTAGTTTCTTTCAGTTCTGTTGCCCTGTTTGTTGACTCTGTTAGGAGGTTATTAATGAGTAGAGTAGAGTAGAGTTTATTCTCTTGTGTGACAATTAAAAAAAATTGTATACAGTCGTCAAAAAAATAGTAAAAGGAAAATTTTGTACTTGCAGAAACAAATTTTAAGCTATTTAAAATGTAAAATAAAGTTAAATGAACTGACACCATTTCTTCATTTGATTATAAAAAAAATTTACAAGTAAATCTGGACACCGATTTCAAATTTCCAAAAATAATGCCAATTCAATGATCTGAAACTGAAGTTATGAACTGTTTTCGAGAGATTTTGTCTTTTGGTCTGGATAGATAGCATATCATTTATTGTGGTTTGTAGATGGTACAAATATCTTGTCTCCTCAATATTGCGATTTTGTTAGCAACAGCTCTGATGAAAGGCAAAGTATAAACAACCAAACATGTTATACTTTATTATGGATTTATTGGCTTTGTATCTTTGTAGTATCAATGAAAAAAGAAATGATGTTCCTGTATTGTGGTGGGTCTTATGTTTGTCTGGTAGGATTTTTTGTGAGTTATAGTCTCTTTTATTGGTTTGTAATCGATAGCCATTTTGTTGCAGTGCTTTTGTAGTTTCTTTCAGTTCTGTTGCCCTGTTTGTTGACTCTGTTAGGAGGTTATTAATGTGTTGATAACGGGTGATGACGTGATACCATAAAAACTAAATAGTTACCGAATGTTGGCAGTTTTTTGTATGGCATGGGCGGCGTGGTATTCCTACGAGGTCCAATCATTATTTTAATGTGGGAGGTTTTATATGGTGTTAACTAGTAAATTGATCAGACCCGGCACATTAGTATTTTATTTAGCTGTTCGGATTGAGTTTGTATAGATTATACCTGTTGTTATTTATGAGTTTCAAATTACCAGTTGTTTTCACTTTGAATCATCAGAGATCTAGATAGAAAATCCGCCAGTTCATTTCTATTTTGTAGTAAACTGATTGCGAAGACAAGAACAAGACTGGTCACAAACCAGTCTTGTTCTTGTCCTCGAGGAAATTACAAATATTTGGTCATTTCAGGAGGCGATGACAGCTTACTTCTGAAATTTGATACAAGAGTGGGCAACCGGCCGGTATCAAAAAACAGAAGTCATGGTGCAGGAGTAACATCTATTCACTCAAATATTTCTAAGGAGAATATTCTAGCTACTGGAAGGTAATAGTACAAAAAAATACATAAATTGTTTCATCAATAATAGGGGGCATTTCAATGATCAGAATTAATGGCCCACACAACTTTATTATAGTCATCTACAAGTAACTTTTTTCTGTCTCTGGGAGTAGTATGTTTCTTATCTGTTTGCCACTTTTTAACATTCCTTTTTTTTCAGTTATGATGAACATATTCGTTTATGGGACATTCGAAATATGAGAGCTGAAATGAATTTAATCAAAATGCCCGGTACTTTGTGGAGATTGAAGTGGGATCCTTTTGATCAAAACTATTTACTAGCAGCTTGTATGCTTGGCGGAGTGCACATTGTAGATGTCACAGATATTCATCAGTTAAACATTGCTGGAAGTTATCACGAACATAAAAATATTTCCTATGGTGCTGATTGGTGTCATTTGGATACCGAGAGCTGTGATAAGTTTGAACAAGACGGACAATTTATCATTGGCACATGTTCATTTTATGATCATTTACTGTGTGTGTCAAAGTTTGACAGTAAAAAAAAAGATTGATACTTAACTGTTGTGATTCTTCAAATAGGTGTTTCATATCAAAAATACCAGTCATGAAATCATTGAAATGGTATAATAATAGCAATGTCTAAGTTATCAGGACTATTAGATAACAATTTATAAATATTCTATAATTAATATTCCTTGTAAGGAAGAAGGGGAGTCAGTTTTTCAATGTTTTCAATTTTCCATAATCTACACTTGGCTTTGCATAAATATCTTACAGCCCTTTTCTGCAGTATCATCACAAAACATGCTCCCTAAAATGGTATTCCACGTGAGATGATTCAATTGGGGCATTGTAAACGGTTTTCATGGTATGGATACGGAACTCATTAGAAACCACTCTCGCTGCATAACATCTGCAGGCAATCTTACTCTTGAGTTGTCTGACGTGTTCAATGACTGTTGTCAATGAAAACAGCAAGAAATTCAGTATTTAAATTATTTTGTAACATATCATTGTTTATTGTAAGTTCATAAAGCAGGCATTTGAAAGATATTATATTTGATAAATTGATGGATGTGGCCAGTATCCTATAAATATGATCTATAAGGACATTTTCAAACGAGTACAATAAACTTTTCAATGTATTCGTTTATTGTATACGATTACAATAAAAAGTTTATTGTATTCTTTTGAAAATGTCCGCATAGGACGAAACTGCAGTAACGTTATTTACAAATTCAAGTGGTATAAAAACATAGTAAGCTTTATTTCTCATCTTTCATATTATATTTGTTTTAGAAACATTTAATGACAATTAATTAGTGAAACACGAACTTTTTACCTTTTCTTAATCTGATGTTACTTTTTTATGTAACTCAGATGAGGTTTTTTTTTCTCTTAACATTGTATCATCTGCAAGCAGAGTGAAACTGCCAGATTATTCAATTATATTGGTTTCAATAATATATGACAGAAACAGAACCGGTCCTAACACAGAACCCTGTGGTACACCAGCTTCAATTGCTCTGCTCTCGGACAGTTGTGTTGTCGTCACCATCTGATTTCGTTCTCAAAGGTATGATTCAAACCAATTGTATGTCTCCCCTTTGCAACCATATCGACTATAATAAACTTTATTTTAGAAATCTAAACATTACATTTTTAGCTATTTTATTTTGAAATCTAATATTTATATTTTATTCATAAGTATTATTTGATATTTAGATTTAGGATCAGTTGTACTCAATGACTTGTCAGAACAAATAAGTGTTTAGCTTGTTCAAAAGAAAATTGTTTTGGAGTATCGTCGAATCACTATTGCTGAGGATATCGGTGGGCTAATGCCATGCAATTTTTTTGGGAATTATGGGCATGAAGCGTGTGGCAGCAAAGTTACTTCCAAAATCGATGAATTTCGATCTAAAAAACCGTCACATGAGCATCGCTCAAGAATTGTTTAATGACGTCAACGGCGGTCCAGATTTGCTAAAAAAAAAATCATAACTGGTGACGAATCATGGGTACATGGTTATGACATTGAAAACAAAGTCCAATCATTCCAATGGAAGAGCCCAGGAGAACCGTGACAAAAAAGTACGCCAGGTTCGATCAAATGTCAAGGTTCTACTCAGTTTTCTTTGATTGCCGCGGCGTAGGGCAGCAGGATTCTTGCGGTCAATAGGATGTAGCCGTTACACAGTAATTTATTTATTTTTATTTATTTTACGGGATCACCTCCATTTGAGAATAAAATTAACAATTATATAATAAAGTAATATACTACATCAAGTATCAAGTAATATTTTCTAGAATTTCAGGAGCAACAATTAAGCCATTCAGTAAATTGTATACGAAAATTAGCAGTTAAATTGATGTTACAATGTTTAAACTGCTGACTATGATCTTTATATTTGAGCTGCATAAAGGATCGCTACCCAATTACTTTAAAAAGTTCCTGAAGTTCATGATTACGATACGAGAAGAAATAACAATTTTTACATTAATAAGACTAACACTAAAATTGGAACTGATAGTATATTTCATGAAGGCTTAAACGAATTTAATAAAATTTTACAATTTGTGAAAGAATCTTATTCAATGTGACAGCTCATTATATTTTTTTTTGTTGGTGTTTCTTCATCGTTATCTAACCCAACAATCTATAGATATGTATGTATATTTTGTTTTACTTCGAATGTACTTTCAAATATTCATTATAGTTTACATAGTTTAATAATGTTGTAGGTTAGGTCCAAAGTGAGTGGATCTATTCGACCCTTCACCGCAACCCGCAAGGGTTTATTGTGGCTCACACTCACCCAAATAAACCCCGCTTCTTAACGAAGCCGATTAGTTTGTATGGTGAGTGGTCTTTCAGATCAGATGGTAAAAACCTGAGTCGGTCCCCAGCGAGGCAGACACAAAGTATATGCAGAACTGCTGCGAAGATTGAAAAAAAAACGCTGATAGGGACTACTTTGAAGGGGACAAAATAGAAATTGATGAACAAATACTTTTGAGAAAAATTAAAATTCACCTGTTTTTAAAAAGGCCGTATATATATGTAATATTGACAAATAAAATATATACATACACAATGATGTACTTGGCCATTGTTAAACATTTGATTTTTCAGAAGGAAAAATCCCACAAGACTGATGTTGTAAAATACTTTTAGTAGTGCAGTCAATATCAGTACAACAGAACCATAATTATTACAATTGTGATGCCTTATGTATTTCACCAGTTTGGTATTTTGATATTTATTACTAGATATGTTTATGTAAAGTTCAATATAAAGACTAGTTATGAGTGCTTAAACTGTTCAGAATCCTAGTACATTCCTCATTAGCAATTGCTCCTAATGCTTCTGCACATTCATGTCGAACCATTTCATTTTCAGCTTCATCTTCCAAAGATTCTTTCAGATAAGGTATACTGTGTTCATCCTGGAGCTGTCCTAAAACAAATGCTACTTCATGCCTAAAAAGAGCACTTCCAGACTTCAAAGCCGCCCCTAATGCTTCAACTGCTTCTATAGATTTCAGATTTCTCAATGAAAACATAGCTCTGTACCTTTCAAAAAGGGTACTATTTTCATCAAATAATATATCTTTTAGCTCGTCAACATTTTTAATTTCAGTGGGAGGTGCTGGATCTACAGAATTATAAGGATTTTCTGAATTGCTCTGGTCATTGTTTTTCTCAAGCCATTTTATTCTTTCTAAAGCAAGTTGACATGTTTCCGCTACCTCAACTACTTCATCGTTTTTGTACTTCTCAAGAATATCTATACTCTGAGGACTGCCAATGGCTCCTAGGGCTTCAGCTGTAACATGAATACATTGATTAATATAGCAGTAATAACTGTGTTTACTCCAACAGTATTGATCCTCTCAATTTGATTTTCTGCATATCTTTGAATATTGAATTTCACTTTAAAACAACCAATCTTCAACTTTTTTTTATATCGATGTTTATGCAAACGGAGATGTATCAAGAATTTTCATCTGCGACTAGGGTAAACACCAAGGTTAATGCATGTCTAGGTCAAATTATTGATATATAGTAGGAAAAGAGCAGGGCATAAGAGTAAATTTTATTGCTACAACTCACTTAATGTTCTTCAGAATTATTTTCTGTAAAATTCAACGAACTAGAAGAGGAATCATAAAATTTGAAATTTTAGTAAAATGTGGAGGAAATATCATTAAACATGTTCACGGACCACATGACATCGTAGTACAATTTTGACACAAACTTCATATTTAACATCACAAACTGTGAAAAGTGTATACATACACAAAGCCTTTCAAGCATCTATTTTGCAATGGCACATCCATATATTTCTTTAAATATAATGCCATGGTGATACACAGAATATTTGTTGCCAAATATGCATTATAAGACTAACAAAACACCAATAGATGCTTCAACTTATGTTTTACTTGCGTTTACACAGCGATTCCATCAAGTATTCATCATGATTTTCCACTGTTTCCCCCCATAGAGTAGAATTCTATTTTATTAGATTAACTGTTAATTGGATTGGTTTGATCTCTAGTAAATTAGATTGGTTGCAGACAAGTGCATCAAAACTGTCTAATATATTTACTTTACTGATTTTCATTAGAAAAAAATCTTACCAGCTTCATGTCGAACCATAGGTTCCTGTGTAACATCTTCTAAAACTTTAACCAATATTGGATTGGCATTCTCGTCCTGCATTTGTCCTAAACAATATGCCAGTTCATGTTTCAATAAAACTGATTCATCAGAAAAACATTTTTCTATACATCCAATAGAGTCATTTCCGCCTAGATTTCGCAAGGTGAATAAAGCTCGAAACCTTTCTTTTAATGGTCTTTTAGGGTCATTCAGGACCTTTCCTATATCCACTATTTGATTTTTAGTAGCTAAAACCATAATTGACAATTTTCACGTAAGTAGTAAGCACAGAAGTAGTAAGTTCTGGTAAGTGATAAATGTAAGGTTACTTTTTTTTGAGGTTCTTCTTCTACATTTTTTTGGCACTTGTCTACCCTCTGGTGTATTGGCCAAGGGAAATTAAAAGAACACATAGAACTAGTATTATCTACTATTTTAGAACTAAATCACAGTTATCAGACACTAATGAATGTCAGTGGTATGTGAACTAGATAGGAAAGAATTTCTACCGATGAGAGCTCTGCTCAAACGATGAACTGCTGTTCGGAATACTGTTTGTTAAACATAGGCCGTGTTTATTGTTTTTGGCGTTTTTTTGTTTCAAATTGTTTAATTGTGAATCTGTGAGAGAAATGTTTTTGTTGCAATTATTATAGACAAAAGAAACTGATGAATAAGTAAATTTTAACTCAAGGGAGGCATAAGAAACGACAACAATATATGAAAACAACTGACAGGACTTTCCAATTGTTCTTCGGAAGAACGACAAACGGACAAACTCTCAGAGTAATATATAACATAGAGTTGCCGTGCCTATACCAATACAATACATTTTTTCAACCACCTACTAGATTTCCATTCATGTATGGCTTTATAAAAAAGCGCCGTGGTTTACTGGGTAACAATTAAATTATTTCAAATGAACTAATTCATAACAATGTTTAATGTTAATTTCAAAAGTAATGAACTTTGCTTCATATAATCAGATGAAGAAATTTGTGATTTATTCTCAGATTTGATAAACAAGCGGTACGATTTGTATTATGAATATTTATAATTACGATTGAGATTTGACATTATTATGTGATTTTATTGAAAATTGGTATCTAGGGGTCTTTTTGGACCGACATTATGTTCTTTTTCAATAATTCATGCTGAAGAATTCTATAATTACGAAAAATGATTGATGTAAATGAAAAAACTGTATTCAAAAATGAATATGTTTTTCATATGAGTGCCATAGGTCATATTCATTCTGTGATCAACGGATTAAAAAGCTTTCTGCTCAATGTTCAGTTTGTATACTAAATAGTTATTCTTGTGCAACCGGTGTTAAATCTGTTATTGCTCACTTAACAACTAATTTACACCACATAAAGAATACTATTTCCGTTTTGGTTTTTCTTTCTTTGCACGAGGCTCTCGAGTTGCCTACAGACAATATTAATAAGAAATGACGGTTATCATTTTTTCAACCTTTTTTTGGTTGGGATATGTCAAATAATGAAAATATAAACTTAGTTTCAAAAACTTTATTTTTTTACTCTGAGCGATATTGCAGTTCTACATTTTGTCACTAAGTGATAGTTTTACATTTTGTCACTGAGTGACAATGTAGAACTGGAATATCGCCAAAGTAGTTCAAGCTGTCTTGTCTTATGTTATCGGTGAACTTTCATTCCACATATCAAAACTCGTAGTTGTGATTAAAGAGTACACTAGGTAGTTAGTGTACTCTTTGGTTGTGACCTGTGTTTCATTCCTCTAATTTTAAAATCTAATCATTTGTCATATTGTCTCTGTCACTGTCAGTTGATTGTCAAACTGAATGCTTTCACTAAATTTTCCAGCTCCTAATCGAGAACGTACTTTAGTTTTATAAAAATGAATAATGTACTAACATTCTCTTAATAATTAAAATCAACAATTTACTTGAGTGCAATATTTACAACGGAATCATTCACATTGTACTAACTAAATGCGCATCCAGTTGCAATCAAAATGAAAAAGTTATTTTCAAAAATTGAAACAAAAATCGACAATACGTCTAAAGAAGTAAATAATTATGTTGGAAAAGTGTTTACAGTTGGCAGACAAACTGTTACTGTCGAGGATATCTTGGCTGAAGGTAAACATTTATATTTATTTGTGAAATAGAGCGAGGGGAGTATACCATTATTATTTCAACAGTAGATATCATTTAACTGATTAATTGATAATTTATTGTAGTTCTAATTTCTGTACTTGATCTATACCGGTGATCAACGAACAACAACAGCTTAAAAAATGTTCCCTGTATATGCTTCAAAATGGTTCAATTTTGGGTAGATTCATGTACCTGTGTTGAGTCTATGTTACAAGTTTTTAGTAAGAATTCATGTTTTCAGTTGCTATTACTAAGAATTCTTGCACATATAGTATATATAAGATTATATCTATGCCCTCCGTAAATGTTTCAACTGAAAATTTATAATTGACTACTTAAAATGTCTTACGACCTGAGACTGAGTGTATTGATTCACCATAGTGGTGTTTCTTTTCTTTTGGACAAAGCAATGAGTTCCAGAAGGGCGTATTCAACCTTAAACCCGTTGTGCAACTAATTTTAACGTGCAAGAAGCTGTTTTTTTGTTTTTCGTTCGGTAACATTTAAGATAAAATTTATACTTTTGAAATATCTTAATATCTACATCATATAGTACACAGAAGTTTTTCAAAAATAGTCAAGGAATTAGAAAATGATATTATATCCCTTATTATACATTCCTCCTTTTAGAGAACTAATTGATTCTTCCAAAATGAAAAGTTCAATACTACCACTTATATTTTCCAGGCAAAAATAAGCACTTATTCGGGCACCAGTGAAGAGTCAATCCCATCATGAATATTGGTTGTATAAAAATTTGAAAAATTCAGATTTTATTGAGGAAAAGGAGATTTAGAATTGATCAAATAAACATTTCAATTGCCTATATTTATTACCAGAAAAAATTCTAGGTTGATTCACTGACAACTTATTAGTATCTAGGTCATCACAATTTACAACTTTTTTGTGCTTATCAAATTTTATTCAAGAACAGAATAGATTAGATTAGATTTATATTTTATGTAATCTATTATATTTCTAGGTATTTACAACAATTTCAATTACAGTAGACATATAAATAAAGTTATACAATGGTTTGAAGTATCTTGAAGTTCAGATTTATTTTGTACAAATCCATTTATTGTCCCATTTCATATGAACATTGCAATACATTTTACTGTTTCATAGTCATTTCCCCTAGCTTGCGAATAACAATGATGAGAATATTTTCTGTATATTTTACTCTGTGTCTAAAATAAGGAGAGCCAGCATGGAAAAATCAGAACCCGTGAAAGATACCAATTTGGTTGAATTATGAAAAAGTTGCAAATTTGAAAGCTGATTTAAATGACATTTTAATATCTAAAAAATACCAGTTAGTTACAGAGATACTCGAAAAGAACAGAAGTTTGACAATTCTGTTTTAATTTATCTCTGAACTTATTGACAATTTCTCATCACCTATTTTATTTTTTATATGGACTGGAAAAAATGAATGGCCCAGTATAAGTAAGCCTTTTTAGCGACAATTTTTCTGATGTATCACTAGATTCGTTTAGTGAGTAAGTTCAGAACAACATTCAATCAGTTCCAATATTTGCAATATTTTCTAATTTCTTTATTTAATGTAGTTTCACATAATCATCTCAGTTATAGTTTTGAGTTTTTTTTGACCTCCCAAACCTTGGGAAATGACCTTATCATAAGGCTGAATATCATTATTGGAACCAATCTAAAACTGGTTAATAATTAAAAAAAAAATTGTCAAGAGCTTGATTGGTTTCAGATGTTGACATTTGTAAAAGTGTGACATGTATGAAATTTAATTTCTCTCAACATATTTTTCCCTGTTTGCTTTGTATAATTTTTATTCTAGGGTTTATCGTCTTATGATTATCATTATTAGGATTAGAACATATGCTCAATAACTGATAAAATATACATGGAAAAGATTGATTCATTAACCAAGTACAAAACAAGTACCACACATTAGAGGACCTATTTTTGACCCATGAATATCTAAAATCGTGTGTGAATATTTTTGACCTTTCCAATACTTGAGCGAGCTGACCAAACCAATGGCATATGAAAAACGTGTGGATTGTTTAGATAGATAGATCTTTATTTAAATTAGGAACCCTACTATACATATAAGAAGGCATATTGCAATATATAGAAAAGAAAATATATAACAGTCATATAAATTAGAATACTCAATATAATATTAAGGTGTAAACGATTCTAAGTAATATTTTTAAAATACATATGGAATAAAAAAATAAAAATGTAATAGAAAGTAGTAGTATCGCAAACACTGGTAATTGAAATATAAAATAGCTATACGGAATAAAATGTTAAGTATACTAATAAGTAAAAAATTGCAAGGAATGTACTGAAGAGTATATACAAATAAACATACATATATAAACAAAGAAAAATAGTTTTACCAATTCACATAGGTTTACAATAGTGATGGGCATAATCGAAATATTTTGGTAATCGAATTATTAGTAATCGAATTGTATGAATAATCGAATTATCATTCGAATTATAAATCACTCGCAATGCGCAGGAGAATCACTCAATAGACATTGTTTATTTACGCATTTTAACTGCCTTAGACTGTTTTATATTGTTCTTATAGATGTGAGACGATTTGTTCTCAATATTATTCTCATTCCACGATTTTGAAGTTCCTGGAGCATATTTAACTTATTGAGATTGAACAGATATACAATGAATATTACTGGATTTTTTTTTTCCCAACACCAAATCGTTATTTTTAACACCTCGACACGTGTTTCAATCACCAAGTGATCACCTTCAAAGAGGAAGATTAAACTAGTAACTAACACAAAGCTAACGCTATTTATGCTATAGATATCCCATACAGGTAAACCATCCAGGTGTACCACCCATACAGGTATACCAACCAATTTTTTTTCTACAATTTTGCCTTATCTGTTATTTACAATATATGTTTAACTGTATATAAAACAATTTTCAGCTGTATACAAATTAATTTCACAATATTGCCTATCTAAATTTATTTTTGCAAAGTGTCCTTATGTAGTAATCAGTAAACCCAACAACATTATTTTAACAAGCTGTATAGTATGCTCTTTAGTATAGGTCCGTCATCGTTATTCATAATATTATTGTGTTTACTTATTTCTACACTCTCATTGGCATCTAGTTGCGTGTTGTTGTTAACTTGTCTAACTAATCTTGATGAACTGAAGTCTATGGAATGGTTTTGTTGCAAAATATGATGGACGACTGCTGATTTTTCAGGTCTTCCATATTTTAGGCATAGGCAAAATTGTAAAATTAATTTAGGTTGGTATACCTGTATGGGTGGTATACCTGGATGGTTTACCTGTATGGGATATCTATAGCATAAATAGCGTTAGTTTCGTGTTAGTTACTAGTTTAATCTTCCTCTTTGAAGGTGATCACTTGGTGATCGAAACACGTATCGAGGTGTTAAAAATAACGATTTGGTGTTGGGAAAAAACTCCAGTGATGTTCATTACTACACCAAAGGTTCCAAACAGTGCATCACCAGATATACAATGGATGAGCAATAATCCAAATGTAGCTGGATGATTTGAATTGTACACAGTGATTTTAGACTCGGTTGAAAAATGTTGAGAAAAAGAAAAGTTTAAATTTTTTTTTATAAGTATAATCAAAATAACTATTGAAGTTCAGAACATTACCTAAAAGGCATCCCAGGTACTTAACATTTGAGACAACTTTAATTCTTTCATTATTACTGTTCAAACGAATATTATCAATATCAAGAGTATCATACTTATATTTTGTTGTTTCATTATTGTTGAGGATTATTTAGCGCTTATTCATTTTTATTCTCCTGAATTGTGAATTTGAACTGTAATTTTCATTTGTATGGTTTTTCTGTGAAGTAGCAGAATCAGAAATAGAAGTCAAATTTTGCTCCAACACTAATTACAAGTACGAGATTAGTATAGTTTTCTAGAGATTTAACTAAAGAGTTAGTCTTTATCTCATTGAAAATATATTCTTATAATTTGGTGTCAGCAAGAGTGGTCGATGGCAAAAATGCCATGGATGGATTCATAAAAATGTATCCACCAAAATTTGTGTTTCTGTTGTTTATGCTGCAAAAATTTTCTCTTTCAACTAAAACAAGATCACTTCAAAATATTAAGTCTGTAGTCCATATGGAATACAAAACCCAAAAATATTTTCAATTCCTCTCTTGCCAATTCTGTCCAATGTGTTATTCGCGACTTTTCTTTTGTACTTTCAATTGCCATCAAAGAGTAAATTAAAATAATCCTTCAGTTCATTTCCTAAAATAATAAGGAAACTAATAAAAGTAAAAAAATTAAAGCTGCTGTATGGTTGAACTAATAGTTCTCTCTGTTTCATAAAAGGTCTCATATTTTCGCATCTGCAGGAGCCTGAGCAGTGTTTGTCTTTTGTGTTGGAATTTTTGGAGTATTCACTAGTGTTGCAAGAAATTTACTTTTGTGTAATCAATATAGCCAGAACAAACGTTACATTAATGATTCTGTAACGAATAACTCAAACTTGATTGCATATTTTATGGTTATATATTGTGTTGATAAATGAATCTGATACTCTACTTTCTTCAATATTGTAAAAAATGACTATTTTCTTGCAATTAAATATCTCAAATTCTCAACAGGTGGATTTGCAATAGTCTATTCAGTAAAAGCAAATAATGGGTGCAGGTATGCTTTGAAACGAATGTATGTCAATAACGAACAGGACCTCAATGTTGCAAAACGTGAAATTCAAATAGCAGTAAGTCATAATGATATTCATTATAATATGTCAATTTCAATGATATTTTTTGTGTATTAGAGCAGTTTGAGTGGACATAAAAATATAATTGGATATGTGGACTCAAGCCTAACAGCAACCGGAGGAGGAGTTTATGAAGTATTGTTGCTGATGCCTTTTTGTCAAGAGAATGTTTTTGGAATGATGAAAGCTCGGGGTAAAGCTAACTTTACCGAAAATGAGGTGTTGACAATTTTCTGTGATATATGTGAAGCTGTCTCTCGATTACATCACTGCAAGACTCCTATCATTCATCGTGATTTAAAAGTGAGTAGTCAGTTAATCAATAAAATATTCTCCTGAAGCACCTCTAACTGACCAAGTCGTTTTACTTCACAGAAAATACTTTATAACAATATGCGAGAAATTTGAATCGCAATCCATTAGTGGATCTGAGTATTTATTTCCCCAGACACATTTTTGTCTATAGCCATTATAAGTACTTGTTGAAGATTGACATGAACTATCAGATATTACTAGGTAGAAATCTTGAAATGAAGTGTTTTTGACAAGTATCTGATTTTTTACCGTCTATGACCTTGAAAATACCGGCACGTCACTTCTACGGTGAAAAGCACAAAATTATTCGAATGAAAACTGAAAACATTGACTCATCTATTCGTTTAATAGAAGTGCAGACAAAATTCACACTGCCAGAGTTGAAGATTGGTTTAGTAGAAATTATTATCATACAAGTAGATATCAGATTTTAACATTTAATACAAATCCTACAGTAACCAAATATAGCTCTGCTTTAATCATTACATTTATTTTGTATTGTGTTGACACTACGAAGAGCTTTCGATAAAAATGTCACTACTTATGGAAAGAACATAAAGTCTATCATCAATACAGAAATTTAAAAGATAGTAGTAGTAGTATCACTAATGTATTACATAAAAAAAACCGGGACTAATAACATTCAGTAAAAGAAATAACTTTGAAGAATCCCCACTTGTGAAACTCAACTGCAAATCAACTCCAATATCAGATCATATAAAATTCCTGGGCGTTACACTAGATCCAACCCTCAGCTGGGATTCACACATAAACATCTTGAATAGTAGGCTGAACTCCATCTGTGGAGTTATACGATATCTACGGAACCAAGTATCAGTCAGCTGTTTGCGAACATATTACTATGCTCATGTTCAGTCAATTATTTCCTATGGGATTATATTTTGGGGCTCTTCATCAAGCTCACAAACAGTGCCTTCACTGTATTTCCTGGGCCTTGTCAACTTTGTAAAGAAATATCCCCATCTGTTTCCTACAAATGCTGATCAATATTCTGCAAATATGATCATCAACACTAGGCATCTAATTAAGCTATCTGTCCCTTACCATAAATCAACTTATTATGAGAAAGGCACATACTACCAAGCAATCAAAGCATACACCTCACTACCTCAAGTACTGAAAGATATCAAAGGCCTGAAGNATAAGAAGAGCATGATTGATGGTGTCAAAGGCTCTTGTGAGATCAAAAAATATAGTTACCGGTTGTAATTTACTATTCAATGAATTATAAATGAAAGTGGTCAATTCACTAATTGCTGATAATGTAGATTTCTTATTCCGGAAACCGTGTTGATGAGATGAAATGAGATTAAATGATTCTAAGAAATCAACTGCTCTTCTGTTATAACACATTTCAAATATTTTTGCTACTTGGCTCTGTAGGTTAATATTTCTATAGTTTACGATTTCATTTCTCGCACCTTTATTTTTAAACACTGGGATGGACTTTGATATTTTCAGGCTGTTTGGATATTCACCCTTCAAAAAAGATTCATTTATAAGATAAGAGAGTGGGATGCATATGATGTTGGCTACAGCACGAAGAATAAGAATATTCAACACTAAAGTTTCAATTATTTTTGGACCGATAATCAAAATATGATACATTTCAAATTCAAAATTGATGAACTGACATCTGATATATTTTTTGTTATTGCAGGCTCTTGGTTGCCTACTTTATAAATTGTGTTTCTTCACCTTACCGTTTGGGGAAAGTACTCTAGCCATACAAAGTGGAAATTTTTGCATTCCTGATAATTCCCGGTATTCAAAAGGATTACATCAACTAATAAGTATATTTATGAATGATATTTTAGATGTACTTTCTTCATTTTACTATTTTCTTTCAAGGATTTATGTTAGAACCTGATCCAGATAAAAGGCCGGATATTTATCAAGTTAGCTGTATTGCTTTCCAATTGATTGGTAGAGAAAATCCAGTGAAAAACTTAATGGTAAGTTTTTCCAATAGTACTTTCTTTGGAATGTAAATTTACATATATTTGGTCTTTTCATTGAACAGAAAACTCCAATTCCAACTCTGGACGAAATACCAATTCCACCAATGGAATCCGAACTGAAGAAAACTCAAATAAAATCGATAAACAAAACGCCATCAGCACCAATAATAGAAAGTACAAGTGTAATGCCACGACAACGACCCAAGGGAAGTTCTGCAACTCCACTGAACCTTAGTAATATCCCTTTAAACATTTGTCCTAGTCCAACATTAACAAAAAAATCACAAAGTCCTGTTGGATCAAACTCACAAGGTAATTTACCATATACTCCTACCTTCCCCACTACCGTTAATTCTAATAATCCTAGTTTTTCTCCGAACTTTTTTTCCACCTCCGACCTACCCCAACCTCACTTAGATTCCCTCTTTCAGTCTTCCATTTATCCAGATCCATTTCGAGATGATACTGCCACAGCTTCACCAACAACTGTGACGGATGTTAGTAACGGAAATAAAATGGACAACTTTGTTAGTCAAGCGCCTACAAGTTTGCCAGTGAATGTGATATCGTCGATTTTGCCAGAAAATACACTTTTCGGCTCTGGAAGTATCAATCAAGGAATTTCGCTCCAAATGAAATCTGGTTTAACTGAATCAACTAACGTTATTGCAGGCAATAGTCCATCAGCTTCTCCAACTCTTTCTATTCCAAAAGGCCACAGGCGGAACATGAGCGACACGACTGCATTCAATAAGTGAGTTGTCAAAAAAACAAATGTTAGTTGGATGATTCAAAAGATCATACAGACTCATTATGTCAATGAACAACGAAAACTGAAAAAAAAGAATACCAAAAATCTCGTTCATCCAGCAGCAGGACCATGCTCAAATTATTCGAGTAGATCACCTGCAGACCGCGGTTTCGAGGTGTTACCTCTCGTCAGTACAGGAAAGATCCGACTCAAACAGCAAAGTACCTAGGACTTGATTAATTTCAAAGCTCCATTTAGTGGAAAAAGCCCGAGGCGGTGAAGAAACATTTCATATACCAATACTCTAACAAACACGGTTTGATCTCTNATGAAAATTAATGATGCAAAATAATGAAAAATAAGAAAAATATTCCAAACCAAAGACTTCACGACATTTAGATTCTTAGTTTCCACAATCTTTCTTGGGTGATTACTGGCCTATTCCTAATGAGCTGAGACAATTTTAGGTTACTTGTGCTCTTTTATCTATTGGTTTTCCGCTAAATTAGGTGTATCTCCATAGATTATGAAAAAAGTGTAGGTAAAGTGGAAGTGAATTATTTGTTCCAAGTTTTGGAGTTTTTTTTGTTATTGATTCATTAGCAAGGAAATGACTAGAATGAAAAACTGTTTTATTTTTGATCAGTATTAGATAAAGAAAAATATGGATTACGATTTTATTCTATCCCTATAAATATATATTCAAATTTCATTTAATTTTTTCTTGAACAAATTTTGGCAGTTTACATACATATAGAAAACGAAATCTAAGTTGTGACTTATTATCAAGTTATTTCTTCAGAAGAGAAAAAAGTCGTATTGAAGAATGTGTTGCTTTAAATTAAACTCTGATGTTCGCTCTTTGAAGATAAGTAGGTTAAAATAACCTCTTTTAATGTGTGATTGTCATAGTGACTAATAACTTTGACACCAAAATCTCTTTACAATTAATGAATATCCATGGCTGCCTAAAAGTGTTTATTAATTCGTCTAAAAATGCAACCTAGGTTCATGACAGTAATTTCTAAAGATCAATATATACTGACACTAGAAATAATTTTGTTTATTCAAAGAACGGATTAACTTTGGTTTCTTCAATTTCAAGTTTAATGTAGTTTTTTTCCTTTTTTTTTATTGACTCTGTCGTTATTTAATGAAGATCCATACACCTAAAAATTTGATCTTTACAAACTTTATTTTCAAAAATATCATGACATGTTTCGCTATCACAGTAGCTTTTTCGTAGTAAATAACATACTTAAAGTTAATTCTTCACTCTACCACACGTAATCACCGGCGAGAACTACCTACTCAGGTACTTACTCAATCATAATTAGTAGAGCATCTACTCAACTTTTATAAACTTGAAGTACACCCTCAATTATGATTTCCTAAAGCATATTATATCAATTCTAGAATTTTTAATTCAACACTATTTATTCCTCTTCAAAATCCGTTGAGGCCATTTTTTGTGGAAATTTTTATAGATAACATAGAGAAGTCGATTCCAAATCATCCTTTAATTAAGTATTTCTTATACTGAAGTTTGTGGAGATCAAACTGACGTTTGTGGAGATCAAATCGTTTAGGTGTAGTTTGTGAAAATATTTTAATAAAGAATTCCAAATCATTAAGCAAATTGCAGTGAACAACGGATTTAAAGCTGAATTAATAGACAAAATACTTTCTAAAAAAATCTACGCAAAAGCGATTCGAAATGTTTTTCCCATTGATAAGTTAGATAATCAAAACCAAAATTATAGAGCTTTAACATATTCTGGACACACAACAGAAAAAGTGGCTTAATTTTGGAATAACCAAGATAATAAAAAAATGCATATAGAACATGTAATATGTTGGGAAAGTTCGTTAAAAATAAGAAAGACAAAACATCTAAATTCGAGAAATCAGGATTATATAATTGAATTATGGAACTTGTCTTAAGGTATATATTGATCAAACCGGCAGAACATTTAGGAATCGCATCCAGGAACATCGTATAAGCTATGTAAATAAGAAAACAAGTTCAACATATTTGAATCATCATTATGAAAAAAATCGTATCTTGAACGGAGATTTATAAATTTTACACATCCCTACCATCCCTACTATAATAATATTATAAATGCGAATGTAAGTTTGTTTGTTACGGTTTCACACAAAAACTACTCAACCGATCATCATGAAATTTTGTTTACATATGTTTTTGGAGGTATTAGAAGTAACATAGGATACTTTTTATTAAGANTTTAACTTGCTTTTTTAAACCTGTACCTGACGTTTGCCGAGTCCTGTGATGATCGTTTTGCAATAAAAGTATTATTATTATTAATATAATTGAAAAGCTTAGAAACTTACAATTACTAAATGACGGATTTTAATAGTAATCTATTAAAATTTCAATTGAGAGTTTTTTTGTGGCTTTAAGTTTTAACAAACGAGTAGGGAATCTTCAGAAAGTATCTCTTCTGTTTTATAATAAATCAAAATAGTTGCGTTACTATGAACAATATATTTGACTACTATAACTTGGATCCGTGCAGACGTGTGCTAGGTCGATCCTCAACTATACACTTCGATGTTTCAAAATGCTAAATAGAGGAGTGTTGAAGCGTGAATTCGTAATCAGCGCCGGTATGAGTCATAGCCGGTAAGAAAATTATCAAACTGTAATGGCTAATATTCCTGATATTTTCCTTTCAGGTTGAAAATATTTTAGTAAATGAAAATGGTAATTTTGTATTGTGTGATTTTGGTTCTGCTACTGCTAGAGTACTAAATCCTACTGAAAAAGGTGCTACAGCGGTAGAAGAAGAAATTAAACGATACACAACTCTAAGTTATAGGGCCCCAGAAATGGTGGATATGTATTGTGGCAAACTGATTTCAACAAAGGCTGATATATGGGTAAGTGAATTTATCATGTAATTCAAATTATTATTTAGTTGTTATTTACTACTGACATGTTCCACACTCCTCGGAGTTTATATATGTACATTATATGTAACTGGAGCAAATAAAGATCTATGACTATGCAGAACACACTAAGAGGATATCTAGAGCATCGAGTCTGTTGTCTCAGTTAAATACCTGCAAACCAAGGTCAACAAACCCGGAAAACTTTGATGCAGTGTTGAAAATGTCTCCACTTTCCCCGACGTACATTTCAAAATCAGCAGATCTATATACACAAAGGTTTACAACGTATTGTGTATCTTAGCTTTATTGTAATTCTATTTTTAGGTTTTTTTTAACGTTCATTATCAAATATAAACAGAATATTTTTTATAGGACTTACGCTTCAGAAACTTCTCAGTTTTTGGCTCCTTTTGAATCATCAATGAAACCGCGTAGCAATAACTCCCCAACAGAACCTGAAGATTTAAATAGAATTTTGGCACCAATGGGTACATCAGCCTCTACAACAGACCTGAGCCATCCATTAGGACCTGACAGCAGATCTCTTTCAGCTGATGTTGCAGACTGGAATCCTTTTGAAGAAACACCTTTTAGTCAAATGACAGAGGACCATATATTCGGTGCTGAATTCGATAAAATTCGGAGGGGTAGCGGCAGCAGTGAGTAATAGCTTTTATTTGTCAAATTTATTGATTTCTAATAATGAACCTGGGAAACCATGGATATTTTTTGGAGTAAGTAGATTTCAAAAAGGTCAGTTGACAAACAATAAGACCATAGGAGGGGGGACCCAGAAAAAAGGGAATTTCAACAACTTCTTTATTTCTCAATATTTTAATACCAAATTTTGATCATCTTCAAATTATTCGCCATTGACCACAACGCACTTCTCCAAACGATTCTTCCATTGTTGAAAACAGTTTTTAAATTCACTCAACGTGATGTTGAAGGATACTTCTGACAAATTAGGGAAATTGTGCAACTCACGTCTGCCAATATTATTCTTGTATAAGAGCAATTTGGCTACAAAAGCAGCAATGACATTTTTTGTTTTAATCAAATTCAGGTCGTCACTACATCGCTTCATTCGAAAATGTTTTTTGACAAAGACGGCACATAGGCGAATATGAAATTGTGGGATTTTCAATAAATCCATATTTTATATATCCCGCGCTATACTGCCGTTTCTTCTTTTTTGCATCCGACATAATTTTGTCTTCAAAAATGCCGAAGTACAGAATCGAGAATTGAAAACTTGCTAATGACACCACTCACAGTATTCACCACCGCACCTACAGCACTTTACCTAGCTAGTCGCTAACTAAATTCGCTTGTTTTCGTAATATCGTCGAATGACATTACTGGCTGGATGGCGTGCGCGCTTTTATATGAGGCAGCGGGCGGGCCTAGTACTTTCGAGAATGGAGACTAGAAACTTCTCGCTTCGCATTGAAGCTTACCGCCATCTATTGTACAGTTTGACAACTATCGGACAGGAAATAGTTACTGTATAGTTCCCTAGATGGCGTTACACGAGGAAACGCGCATTAAGCGGTAAAGTTTGTGTTGGAAGCAAAAAAACATTTTTAAATTAGCTATCGCCCCCTAAACCGCTTCAACGCCCTCCAATCTTCTCTGTGCCCTTTACTGCCCCCCTATAGGCCTCCAGCACCCACAAGGGGGCGTTATCGCTCACTTTGAGAAAGACTAGTCTAGAACATAAAGATGTTCACAGTTCCAACTTTTAGGCATGTTTAATTGGTTGGTGAGAGGCATAAAAGTTAGAAGTGTTTCGAGTGTTCTGCGATTTCTGGTATCGAAAAAATAGATAAAAGAATTTGCATCAAATTTTGTGTAAAAAATGGAATTTAGTGGTCAAAAAACTCGAAATGTTAACAGTGGCATACGGTCATGTATACAAGTGGTACAAACTTTTGAAAGAAGGTCGAGAAGATGTGATTGACGAATCTCGCCGTGAACGCCCCAACATATCAACAACCGATGAAAATGTTGAGAATATGAAGAAAATTGTTATGGAGAATTGTCGAATCACTATTAGAGAAGTTGCTGAGGATGTCGGAACATCGGTTGGCTTATGTCATGCATTTTTTTTAATTTGAGGCATGTACGTGTGGCAGAGAAGTTCTTTCTAAAATTGCTGAATTTTGACCAAAAAATCGTCGCATGAGCCTTGCTCAGGAATTGTTAAATGTCGTCAAAGGCGATCCAGATTTGCTTAAAAGGGTCATAATTGGAGACGAATCATGGGTATATGGTTATGACAAATCCNGTCGAATCTATAAAACTGATTTATTGTGCACAAGTGAGATCCATTCTTGAGTATAACTCCATTGTATGGTCACCCTATTATAATGTTGATGTTGAGTTGTTAGAGGGGTGTCAAAACAAATTCTTGAGATATGTTGCTTTTCAGTTAGGATTAAATAGAGGAGAGTATAACTACTCACAGATATTGAACATATTGAACATGAACACCTTAACTCATAGGAGACTTGAAACAGATCTTGTGTTTGTCCACAAAGTATTAAACGGCTATATTGATTCTCCAGAAATAGTTGAGCTTTGTACTACTCTCTCTGTGAATGATAGAAGAACCAGAAATAGTGATATTTTTAAAATTCCTTTTTGTAGAACCAATTATGGTCAGAATGAAACAATATGTAGGATATTGAAATCAGCAAATCATTACCATCTTAACTTGGAATTGTTTAATTCATCATTATTATCCTTCAAAAAATCGATTAAAAACATCTGATGTATCTTTAGTCTGTAAGCACATGTACAATTTATAAAAAGATATTTGTAAAAATTGGCTTGTCCGTTGAAATAAATAAATAAATAGACATTGAAACCAGAGTCCAATCGTCCCAACGGAAGAGCCTTGGAGAGCTAAGACCAAGAATAGCACGCCAAGTTTGATCAAATGTCAAGGTTTTTCTCACTATTTTCTTCGTATACCGCGACAAAGTGCATCAGGAATTCTTGTTACATTGTCGTATGGTCAATAAGGAGTATTATCTTGAAGTTGCACCGCTTGCGAGAAGCAATACAAAGAAAACGTCAGGTATTGCGGAAAAACAATTCATAGATTTTGCATCACGATAATGCACCGGCTCACTTGTCATTGCTTGCTCGTAATTTTTAGCCACTGTATTCACCAGATTTGGCCATCTGCGACTTTTTTTATTCTCAAGATTGAAGAGACTCATGAAAGGACGGCAACTTTTAGTTTTCAGCCAATTAATATTTTTGTCCCTTCGATTTTTAATAGGTGTAGGTGCATTATTAAAACAAATATTTAATCATCCATAAGTGGTTATAGGAAATGTAATAAATAAATGAGATTTTTGAGCTGTGAGCTAGGTTAGGTTAGGTTTGGTCACACCTATTCACAATCGACCAAATAAACCCAGCTTCTTAACGAAGCCGATATGTTTGTATGGTGAGTGGTCTTTCAGGTCAGATGGTAAAAGTATGGCAGAGCCGTACTCTTACTAGCTGTGAGCTGAATGATGAATCAGAGTAGGTTCTCATAATAACATTGTCATCACCTGAAATCAAGCACTTTTAAAAGGACAAAGGTGTAACCACCTGAGAAAATAATTGTCAAAAATATTTATTCAGAAATACACTGATTTGAGATAAAAATTGTTCTCATTCCATTAAGTAGGTAAATGATGACCTTGCCCACTAATGAAAATAAATTGTTTGTTTATTGTTTGTTATCTAGAGAAATAAAAATGTTGCCAATGAATTATTTTACGAACAATGTTGTTTACTCTGTGTTATACCTTTCATTTTTATTCATCTGTATTATTACGTTATATATTATTAAATCTCTCATATACGAAGGGAACCAAAAAAAGCTTAGCTCCAGCTTCTGTAAGATGTCAACTTTTTGTAAATTTTTGTTGAATTCTGTTGAACAATACTCTCAACATAAACATTTTTTATATCACAATAATTTCAAAATTCAATTGTAAATATAATCATTCAAGATAACGTTGAGTTCCAAAATCTGAATTACTAGATGAAATAATTTCTTGAAGAATTGTACTAGTCATTATATCGTTAAGGTATAATCATGTATTTCTGCAGTTTTACGTAACAGAGAAATATTTCTTTTTCAGGCTTGCAAGGCATCAAATCGGGGGAAAGTTTGGTCATGTCAGTGTCAGAGGATCCCTTCGGTAGTGCCCCATTCAGCCTTCCTATACGTTCTCGTGATCGGACCCACAAAGGACTACATTCCTCAGGTAATCAGGCTTAATGTCTCAGAGTTTTTTGAATTCACGCTTCTCTCTAGTTATTTTTGACATTGGGAAATTGACCTACCAAAATTTATTTAGTGTATTGTCTTGTTTTAGACTTTTATAATTGAATGCTTACTGACGTACAAAGCTGATGTGAAAAGTCGAATAAACAAGGCCTTGTCTGAAATAAAACTATGTTTGCAAGGGAATGGGTGTCATAATATTTTTCTGACAATCATGTGACAGTCTTTAACAACCAATGACTTCCTTGGGAAAAATGATTTGTTAATATATGTTTTATTGATTCAAAGTTGGCGAAAAATAATTAGTGCAGTTAATTTTCACTCTTACTGATCTTCAAATGTGTTGGGTTTATCTTGAGATTTTCTGCAGGTTACCACGGCAACACCTTCCGAAACCACTATTAATAACCACTTTTCCTCCATTTCAATGGCTTTAACAGTTCGTAGACTAACAGAAAAAAACATTTTTAACACATTTTTAACAAAACTTGATTTTATTATTCAATATAGTTGCACGATTATATCGGTTGTACAATTTTTCAATACTTACCATTTTTATAGTACAATTTGTCTTTAGCCTCAAAATAGACCTCAGTTTCGATCATTACCTCTTCAGCAGTGCTACGTTTGTTTTCAGCAAGCATTCTCTTGAATTATGAGAACAGGAAAAAGTTGCTGGGAGTAGATCTGGAGAATAAGGTGGATGTGGAAGAAATTTACAGTGTGTGTGTGTCACGGTGGGTTGTTTTAATGAAACATCACTTTCTTTTTTTTTCAAATGATGCAGTTTTCCGCTATTTTCAAAATAGTAGATGACTATTATATCATGTGTATCCCAAAATATTGATACCATAACCTTGTCAGCGTCTTTGCGTGTTTGCGCGCATCAGTTGTTTCACTCAGATGACGATTGTTTTGATCCTGGTGTGGAATGATGAAGCCATGTTTCATTCATTGTCACAAACGTCGCCTAAATTCGGGTTTTTCATGGTGTAACAGCTTCAAGCACTGCTCAGAATCATCTATTCGTTGTTGTTTTTGTTCGATTGTGAGCACGCGCGGCACCCACTTTGAATAGAGCTTTTGCATGCCCGAATATTCATGCAAGATATGGCCAACACGTTTCTTTGATATCTTTAGAGCCTCAGTTATCTCGATCAACTTCACTTTGCGGTCTTCTAAAATTAGTTTGTGGATTTTTTTGATGTTTTCTTCGGTAACAGCCTCTTTGGGGCATCCACTGTGTGCATCGTCCTCTGTGATCACTTCACCTCGTTTCAACTGAGAAAACCACTTCTCAATGGTTGATTTTTGTAGTGTCAAGTCCGAATAACGTTTATCAAACCAAGCCTTGGTTTCAACAGTATTTTTTGTCTCCAAACACACACGAAATTCCTTTTCATTCGTTTTCTTCAAACTTACAAAAGTTGCTTCTCTTAAAATGTCCTATCCCCACAAACTATTAGTCCGTTAGCTGGGAAATTTGTACACGTGTCTTTTGAAGGTTAGAGTTAACTGAAAATCATATGAATTCATACTAGCAGTGCCATCTGTTAGTCTACGAACTTATCAGCCCATCTTGTATAATACTACCTGTTGCATATACTAATTCAATATTTCTATTATTCTTGTTCATTTCAGTTGTTACTAACACTTGTATAGGTATGTTTTTTGGGGTGGTCTTTTGTTGCATTTTTTAGTAACATCACGTATTAGGTCTTTTTATCCCAGTGAATGAAGAAAGTCACCATGTCAGAATAGTATTAGTTATTGCAATGACACCACAAATCTATTCAAATCATTTTATCAAATTACTTAGTTACTAATCTGTTTGGGTTACTTTGAAGTTACAAGATGCTGTAAGTTGAGTTGAATAACTAAAGTTTTAGGTGACTATTTTTATTTAAAAATATATTTAATGAAGGATTGTTGTCCTATTATTTTGATACTATTTTTATTCAATATACATTTTACTTTATAATTAAAATTTAAACATCTAATTTACACAAACTCATGATAATTTCTAAGTGAAAAAATTAAAGTTTAGGAGTTTTCTAAAAACTAGAATAATGGCTCAACTGGAGGTTGCAGACAAGATGCATTTTTACCATACTGATATACTTATCATGGAATATGTATGATCACTGATTGAAAAAATCATAATTTCATGCACAAAACTTGAAGGAACTAAGTTTTTCTGACGTTAAAGAAGTGAACGTGAATAATGATAATATTTAATGACCACAGGAAGTAATGAGTATTTTTTTAAGGCAACATTAATAATCTGAAAAATGAAAAAAATATAACAGTCAACAGAATTAGTGAAAATTTCAAATTGTAGAAAAATTGCTATTCGATACGAAATTCTGAAAAAACTAAATTAGACTAGACTGGAAGTCTAGACAGGGTAAAATGAATAGATACAAATTGAATTCGTACATCCTTTTGAATTCTTCTGGTTGAGAAAAGTCTGCACGAATGCTGAGTCAGCACCTAAACAGGGTTGCCATTTTCTACTTCGCTGTTTTTTATGCCTTTACCACTATTAGAGTGGTAAAGATTCACTAAAATGACTAAAATCAGTGGATTCACAATTACCTATATGTAAAATGCTTTTTATGGACTTGTTTTGTAAAATTCACAAACTTTCACTGATTTTTAAATCCAGCGGACTACAAGTACTTTTTTCTTGTTTTCACAGTATGTTCTGAGAAGGATATATTTATATAATCCCAAAAAATGTATTATAGTTGAATCTTTATTCACTTTTACCGTCCGTGCAAAGTTGATAACTTGAAGAAATATGTAAAAACTTTTTTTGTCACTTCACTGTCTGTGAGAATATCAATCCGCTCATTTTTTTGGGGCCTCAAATTGATATTCCATGTGCCCTACTAGACAGATATGTGTTGACCCAGCGGGTAATGTTTTTAATCTGGCGTGTGTAATAAAAATGTTATATTTCTAGAAAATTCAATTTTTCGGGATTCACTACCTAAATTCTTATGAAAATTGGTTTGTGAAAAATTTTTCAATTGATCATTCTGGCATATTCACTCAGAATGGAATTTGTATTTGTTCAGTTGACAGATAAGTTCGAAAATTTCGTAAATCTACTTGACGATTGATTGATTCTGAAAGGAAATAGATTTCGTCGCTGAGTTAGTTAACTAAAACATGTAAAATGAAAATAGTTTGGTTAAATGTTGGCCTAAGTTGGTCAACACATATTAAATTAAATATTTGATAACACGGAATATAGGTCACATTCTGTTTCTATAATATACGGAAATTTTGAGAGATAAACAAATTCACGTTCTTTCCTGTAATTACAAAAGATCCAGTTCGGTAAGTTATCAATAGGTACAAATGCAAGGATGTTTGTTTTAGATGATATAAATATTCAGTCGATATTAATACTGTATACTCTAGTTATTGTCTAGTTACCAGTTGCTTTTCCATGTGCTATTTGAGCAATGGCTTGCAGTTCTTTTTAATTCCAAAGATACCCAACAGATGAAGGGCTGTTATTGTGTATATTCCTAGGAATAATTAGAATTGAAATAGAAGATAATTTTTTATGGTATATTAGTTCTTATATGACAGTATTGATTATAAATAGTTTTATCATTCCAAAACTAATGACAATTTTTGTCTAGTCATAAATATTTTTATATTTACATTTGCTTTTATCGATTACTATAATAGGTACTTAAATAAGATATCTACGTCACCTTCGTTTAAGGATTCTATTTGATCAATAAACAATATCTATCATTACAAATAAGATCTATTTTGTAAGACACAAGCCCACATTTTTTTTCATAAACCACAATAAAATCACGTGTGTGTGTGCATTGGTGACGGTCCTGCTTTTTGGCTTAAATATTTTCACATTGATAGGGTACTCCAAAAAAGAGCGAATCAAAACATAACTTTCAAAATGGAATTCTGTACATATTTGTGCTCATTAAGAAACACTTATCCAAGACGAGACTATATAGGAGATGTTAAGCGAGAGAAAAACCACATTTAATAACACAGTTGTACAGTCAACAATCTGAATTCTTTCAAAAAACATATTCCTCAGTTTTACTGAGGAATATGTTTTTTGAAAACAATAATACTGGGGATATTAGGTACCAACATGGACGTTATCAAACGATTATTAATAATATAGATACAAGAAGTATAAATAATAAAGTCGGTATCAAAATTATTGAGCTTTTTGAAAAGTTTCGGTCATCTCTAGACAATAAATACATTACCTGAGTTGATAGACAAACTCTAAAAGCAAATATATCTGAGAAGTGTACTATCCGTAGTATACTGCTAAATGTTTTTTTATTCAAACAGTACTGAAGTTTATTCATTATGCAATTCCTTTAATGAGTCTATGTCAAGACCAAGGAATATAATGTGTGATTTTGGAATTGAATTGTAATTGTTCTCAGTATCAATTGTGATTACTAAAAACTGGTTTTTGAATGATTAAAAAAAGGGGGTTTCACGAGAATGGATTTAATCCTGAAATGTCTTTAAGAATATACAGGAATGTAAAAAATATCATTTGGGTCGTGACTTTACTTTAATGTAATTATTGCATGGGGCCCCCAAAAACTAACTAGCGTCCGACCAAAACTGGTTTTTACGACCGAAACTGAATTTCGGCAACGGTCTTATTTTCGGCCGAAACCGAAACTTCCTTACAAGGATTATGTTTTGAGGAAAAAATAAAGAAAGCGTTATTATAATCAGCCAGTCTTTATTTTTTTTATCTTCAAATCACAGCGTTTTGCAGTCTTCGATATTTTCAAAAGTCTTCTTCGCTTGTATGAAATCCAACGAGCCGAACATGACCGATCACGGCACGAGAACTCCCGAATGCAGTTTCGGTCGTAGTTTCTGCAAGTTTGCCACCGAAACTAAACCGAAACCCGTTTTTTTGCCGAAACTCAACCGAAACCGAACTTTCGGTCG